ACCTTCTGTCATGATTGTCATTTTTGCATAGTTATACTTCAACCATTTCTGTTGTTACGCTTCACCCATTTTCAAGGTCACACCACACCCTTTTCCTTGGTTGATCTGCTCCATGATTACACTGCATCCATTTTCATGGTAATGCTGTACTCATTTTTGCTATTACATTACAGCCATTTCCATGGTTACAGCGTGAGCAACAAGATGTGAGAAAACATGCGCTGAATGCGATTAGGATGGTGATGTAGAAACAAGTCAATCAGTGTGAAATATTCAAAAGTGTCAAGCTGTACAAGGCATGTACTGATTAAAAAACTGCACATACTGCAACTACAGATGACTTTGTACATACCGTAACATAACCGTAATGTGGTTATGTCATCAAAGCTCACTGAATTGAATTAATTGAGTCGAGTAGAGTAAAATAATGCCCTGTGTTTCCAGGCCTGGCAGGCAGCTTGGTGCATTTGGGCTTCATGGAGTTGCTGTGTTTTGTCACATTGCCTTTGTGACAGATTCTTCCTCTCAGTGAAGGCCAACTGGTCTGCTCTCTCTCTAGTGCAGTCTGGACAGACTCATTAAAGCCCACTAACATGACGAGCTGCTGATGTCTGGGCCTGCACCGCTTTGCTGTCGCTCTGCTTATTGGAGCAGAGATGTGAGCCTGTTTGGTTTTTGTTGTTACTAGGGGCAAAAATATCTGACCTAACAGTGATTAGATCTTTCTTTGGAGTTTTCTTTGGTAAACGATTTGAGGCATCATGACATCTCAAGTTTCACAACAAAGCAGGTTAGATTGAATTATTTTGGTATAATTCAGAATTAACACTGAATATATAAATGTGTCTTGAGTTTGAACAAGACTGAACAAAAACTACTTGATTAACCCCTTAATCCCAGACTTATTACATACTAAAACTTATTATTCAGTAACTACAGGGACTTCAGTGCAAACTGGTTGAGCTATTCTTAGGTTATAGATGTGTGTAATAAAACTTCGGGCCTGCCGGGCGGCCGTGGCCATTTAAGGGGTTAATTGAATTACTCTTTTTGTATCACAGTCTGAAAATATCCGAGTTGACATCACTGGAAATTATAAAAGCTGGACAAACAAAACTAAACTAAACATGATATCACATGATGGGAAAATGTTTTGAGTCTTGAGACTGATCACAGTATGTTCTGTTAATGTATATTTACACATGTGAACTGTGTACGCAACAAAGTTTGCATTTGATGGTTAGATGATTATGTGAGGCTTCCGTGTGTATCCGTTTGCAACACGTTAGTTTCGAATTCCTGAAAGGCAGCAGTTTGTTGCCGTTACGTCTATTTTTGGGCTTAAAAGAAATCCGGTTTGATCAAGTCAAATTAAAAAGTGGCGTACTCAATTAAAAATGTCATTTTTAGTGACAGTCCTACTACCCTTTAGCTCCTTGCATATTAGCTTACATTAAAAAGTAGCTAGTTAACAGACACTTGCATTGAAACGTCAGCAACAGCCTTTAAGTTTAATAAATATGTGCTATACTTGTTACTCTAAAACAACACAGTACCTGCTTAGCTAGGAGTACTTAGCCAGTCAGCTAACAGCTTCTTTCCTCAGGGCAGAGGTTGAGCTGTGAGAAGCTTTTGTCAGCTGGTGATGGTGCCGTTTCCTTTAGTTCGGTTAAAAACCAATGAAGAGGACAAATTGGATAAAGTATGTTCCTTGTGTGCTGGTAACATTGGACATTTATAGGATGGATTCACAAAAGAAAGAAAATCATCTTGTGTGTGTGTTTTCCTTAATTTCATTCTTAAGAAAAAGTTTATTATTTGTTCAAATAGCTTCTTAAGAATTCTCTTATTTTCTTTTCTTAAATATTTCCCTAAAAATAAGTGGCACTCTTAAAAATATCATGTTCTTAAATGGTTTCTTAACCTTACAGCAGCCTCACACTCGTCTCAGGCTGTAAGAGTTGACGAGGTCAGCATCTATATTTATCACAGACTTTGCCTCCGCTGCTCCTGCCCATCCTCGTCCGTTACCTCACAATTATCATATTGTCCACTGAGGATTTTTTTTTTTTTTGTTGGCTATATCTTCCACCATCACCTCTAGTTCTTGTTTGCTATATTTTTTTTAAATGCTTGGTTTGATATTTTTTCTCCATTTTGCTCCCAGAGAAATAACAGTTAATATATATTCAAACGGTATCTCACGTTGTTTATGGTACATGGTGAAATGCAACGTAGCTGACATAAGAAAATATAAGAAAATAACTAAGATATATTTAGAGAACTTCTTAAGAAAATATTTGAGAACTTCTTAAGTTTTTCTCAAGAATTTCATTTCACAACATTCTTATGAACTTTTTGTCTTAAGAACCTTTGCAAGTTTTTTCTTAAGAAAGCTTCCGTGAATCCGTCCTCTGAACACCTCAGGGCTGAAGTGTTTTTGGGAGCTGCTTTGTTATGATTGGCTTTCAGAACTGAATTTTTTAAATTTAACTGGCCTCAAAGTAACAAAATAAAAGTATTTTATTGCAAATGAACTCAAGTAAAAGAAAAAGTATCTTTTAATTGTACTCAAAAAAGTACCATTACAGGGAAAAGTGTACTCCAGTTCAGCACCAAGAACGAAATTACTTTCCACCTCTAGATAGAGGGAGACCTAGCTAGTTGGTGGGAACTGGGGAGAAAATTGGTAAATAAATAAAAAATAATTCAGGTCAGTCTTTGACTTTGTAGCAGGTGGAGGTGTGGTTTGATCTCGCTGTGGGGGATTTTTCAGTGGGAGGGCTGCTCTACCACTCCTTCTGAACTTTGAGCCTAGAAACCTGCATACTGAGCCGTAATGTACACAACATGGGCGTGAGTCTGTAGCAACCCTGCCCACGCACATACACACACAGACGTGCACGTCTGTAATTGGGTCAATAGTACATACTTTAAATAAGTAAATTTAAAAAAGGTGTTATAAATCACTCCTGTCGGATCAAAACTTAGTATCTCCAAAATGGTAACTTTACAGGAGAAGGAAAAAACATACTTTACTTTTAATGTAAGTCAATGGAACCAGACTTTTTGTCAAAGTAATTTTAGGCTGTTTCTTTCTGTCCATTCATCATGAAATTCATACACAATGTAAAAGGCAACAGGCATTTTCAAATTATGTCAAAAACTAAAAATTGACAAAAATGGAGATGCAAGGTTTTGTTCTCACAGCAGCGAAATGGTTCTTTGAGCAATATGATCGGAGAACCACTTCTGGTTCCCTTAAGAGCCATGTTTGAAAAGAGAAATGTGAGTGTGAACAACCTTTTAAAAGCTTAAAGAACCATGTCATAATACAAAGGTTCTTTTCCAATTTAAGGGTTCTTCCTCAAATCTTTGCATTACGTGGAGGTTCTTTAACCCCTTAAATAGCCAGGACCTGCTGGTGGGCCCAAAGTTTTATTACACACTTCTATAAGAACAGCTCACCCAGTTTCCACTGAAGTTCCCTGTAGTTACTGAATAATAAGCCTTAGTATTTAATAAGCCTGACAGTTTAAGACTCACACATCTCAGTGCTCTATAGAATAATCATTGAAAGCTTCTTTGGGGAACCAAAGTGGTTCTTCTGTGACATTGCACATAGAACCCTTTGTGGTACCTTTATTTTTTTTCCTACTCATAGCTTCCTGCATGTGCACACACATGCAGTCATAAACAAAAGTTTGGGCGGCCCTAGTCAAATTACCAGGGCAAAGTTTCCTAAAAGCATATTAGATCATTATACGTGGTAGAGAGAGTGTTTAGACTGATGCTCGCTCTACCATTTAGGAATCTTCTTTCTTTCAGAATGTTTTGTAGGAAACCCAGCAGAGTTTTTGTTGACTTTTCTAAGTGAAAATAAGGCGACACATTCTCTACAGAGACACACTTCTGCACATTTTAATGCACAATTACTGTTAATTTAACACTTGTGTGGTGTTGATGTGTTTGTTACTCAGTGGTCTGGTGGACCCACCACATTATTGCTTTATTAAATCAGTACAGCCGTAACAATTTAAAATATCACAAGTGTCCAGCGTGGGGTTCTCCTTTAGCAGCTGTAGCCAGTCAGCAGCCTGTCCATGTTGTCCACCCTCACACACACACACACACACACACAGACACACACACACACACACACACACACACACACACACACACACACACACACTCTAACAGCAGGCCATGTAGGAGGAGAACAGAGTGAAGGACACAGCACCTCCACACTTTTACTCCCCGCAGGTTCACCCAACACCACATACTATACTATATACTGTACTATAAATGTGTGGGGGGTGAACAGAGTGAAGACACTTAAAATGGATTATTTTATATGTTCTCCACAGAAAATGAGGAAAGGACAAGAAATCTGGGTTGATCTGCATTTTTTTTTCATTGAAAATGGGTCCCACAAACCCCAACACCACACAAGAGTTAATATTGGAGAAAGAAATAAATGTAAAATGTGGCTTGTGCAAAATTCTTCATCTTATATTTTCTCAAATGTTACTTTGCAAACGACTAGAAATTGTGCAAAAGAATTGCTGGGAAATGCCATGTTCAAGTTTGTTCTCTGTGGATGTGAAACTTATTTGCATTTAGAAAATCAACAAATTGTGATTTCTGTGGGAGGTTCAAACTTATGTGACTGTACAAACCTTTTAATGTCATTTTTTTTTTTAAATATTGTTTGGTCCAAATGATCAAGGTTACTGCGTTTGTTTCAAATGTAAGTGCATGTATTTTATTTCACTGTATGGTAAGCTGAAACTCCAGAGTGGCCTGGATGACTTGGCAGATAAATGAAAGAGCCCAGCTTTGTGTTTCATCTTACCCGTCAGTTTAGGAAGTATAAATATCTGCATGGCCTCTCTGAGCACCACTGAGATTCTGAGTACAGAACATGTAAATGATATACTTTCTGCATGTTTTATTGTTTAGAGTTTGCACAGTGAGAAGATTCTCTGCTTTCTTCACAGGACCATTGAGGAATGGCTGCAGCTTTGAAGATGACCTGTCCTTGGGTGCTGAGGGTAAGTTCATATATATGTGTGTGTAATGCATATAATAAAATATATCCCATATACATATACTGTGCAAAAGTCTTGAGCACCTAAGAACATCATCAAAAAAACATGTATTTCTGGAATAAATGTGTTTTTTACTCATCATTCAAGTCAAATTTATTCCTGGAGTACATTTTAAATCAGCCAAGGTTGACCAAAGTGCTGTACAGCTAATAAAAGTAGAAATCTAATCATTTATAAACAAACTGAAGCAAATTAATCAGAGAAAACACTAAAAGAACTGCATGAAAAATAGGATGAACATGAAATGAAATACAAAATGCAAAATTAAGACAAAGAGCTGTCTGTTTTCATTGTTCTAGTAAGTTGCAGACTCTGAGGACTGACTGACTCTCATTTAGAGAGAATTACAATCGTAATTTAGCTGGAGAAAGTTTTATCTGGCCGTAGTTTAATTTTTTGATACAACGACAATCAGTTTTAAGGGGTGGTTATCGCCAGGTTTCAGTGGTTGGTACAGCTGAGTATTGTCTGCATAAGAGTGGTACAAAACACAAACACACACAAAACCTCCACCCACACCAGGCTGATCAGATAGCGTATCTGTGGTATCAGTGTGAAGGTCCTCCCTGTGACCCCTGTGGTGTTTACAGCCTGGAAAAAAAGGCATTAATAATCAACAACTGAGTTTACAGTCCAGTGCTGCCGTTCTGGAGTTCACAGCTTTATTTCCTGGTCGTTTCAACTGGTTGTTTTAGCTGTTTTGGGACTAGTTTGTAAAAGTTTGGATTAATTGTTATAATATAACATATACTATCAAATGAATCATGTTAATATATTTGTATATCATAAGTAATGAAGTTCTAAAAAAATTCATTTCATTTCAAAATGCCTCAAATTTGAAAATAATCTGAATAAGAAACTGCTAACGGATAATTACACTGTAAAATTTTACATGTAATAAATTCAATTTTACGTCTTGTTTCCCGAAACACATGGAAATTTGAAAACTGAATATTTTTGTTGTCTATTATATAATATTTGAGTCTACACTGTAGCCTGAAACTACCTTACCGTACCCTGCTTAGCCTAGCCCAGTGTACGTTACATTACTCTACGCTGCCTAGCCTAGGCAAGTGTACCTTACTTTACCCTACTCTGCTTAGCCTAGCTTAGTGTCCCTACCTCACCGTACTCTGTTTAGCTTAGCCTAGTGTCCCTACCTTACACTGCTTTACTAAGCCTAGCTTTAGTGTCCCTACCTTACCCTTCCTTTGCCTAGACTTGCCTCGCTTATCCTACTTTACCCACTTGACCTATGCGGCATAGCCTAGACTAGCCAACTTTGCCCTATTCTAACCTACCGTATACTAATCAGCCTACTGTATACCAGACTAGCCTACCTCACCCTACTTTACCTTTCTCTGCCTAGCCCAGACTAGCCTACCTTACTCTACTTCACCCTACCTTACTTTACTCTGCCTGGCCAAGACTAGCCTACCTCACCTTGCTTTACCCACCTTACCTTTCTCTGCCTAGGCCAGACTAGCCTACCTTACCCTTCTCTGCCTAGGCCAGACTAGCCTACCTCACCCTACTTTACCCTACCTTACCCTTCTCTGCCTAGCCCAGACTAGCCTACCTTACCCTTCTCTGCCTAGGCCAGACTAGCCTACCTCACCCTACTTTACCCTACCTTACTTTACTCTGCCTGGCCAAGACTAGCCTACCTCCCCCTGCTTTACCCACCTTACCCTTCTCTGCCTAGGCCAGACTAGCCTACCTTACCCTACTTTACCCTACCTTACTTTACTCTGCCCGGCCCAAACTAGCCTACCTTACCCTTCTTTGCCTAGCCCAGACTAGCCTACCTTATTCTACTTCACCCTACCTTACTTTACTCTGCCTGGCCAAGACTAGCCTACCTCCCCCTGCTTTACCCACCTTACCCTTCTCTGCCAAGACCAGACAAGCCTACCTTACCCTACTTTACCCTACCTTACTTTACTCTGCCCGGCCCAAACTAGCCTACCTTACCCTTCTTTGCCTAGCCCAGACTAGCCTACCTTACTCTACTTCACCCTACCTTACTTTACTCTGCCTGGCCAAGACTAGCCTACCTCCCCCTGCTTTACCCACCTTACCCTTCTCTGCCAAGACCAGACAAGCCTACCTTACCCTACTTTACCCTACCTTACCTTTCTCTGCCTAGCCCAGACTAGCCTACCTTACCCTTCTCTGCCTAGGCCAGACTAGCCTACCTCACCCTACTTTACCCTACCTTACCTTTCTCTGCCTAGCCCAGACAAGCCTACCTTACCCTTCTCTGCCTAGGCCAGACTAGCCTACCTCACCCTACTTTACCCTACCTTACCTTTCTCTGCCTAGCCCAGACTAGCCTACCTTACCCTTCTCTGCCTAGGCCAGACTAGCCTACCTTACCCTACTTTACCCCACCTTGCCCTACTCTTCTTAGCCTAGACTAACCTACTTTACCCAGCCTAGACTTGCCTTGCTTATCCTACTTTACCCTGCTGTACCCTTTCTCTGCCTAGCCTAGACTTCTCTACTCTTTACCCTACTCTACCCTTCCTGTCTACTCTGTACTCTGTCCTAGGCCTGCCTGCTCTGTGCTTCTCTACCCAAGCCTGCCTAGCCTGTTCCATCTTAACCTGCTCTAATCTATCCTGCGCCTGGCGGGGGGACTTTCCTGGAGCCGAACACTGGAGTTTAAATTTCTTTCACTAAGAGAGTAAGTGAGTGTGTGTTGGAGAGAATGTGTGCAAGTGTGTGGGTCATGCTAGAGAGTGTGTGTGAATGGTAGAATGTGTGTGTGTGTGTGTGTGTGTGTGTGTGTGTGTGTACGGTGTGTACGCTTAGATCTCTGAAACAGTCTCTGGTTAATGTCCAGAGTCTCCCATTTCTGTTCCTGAGTAAATTATGCAGGTTTAGACGTCAGTGGATATAACTTTATAATTCTGCTATTGAGCGTTAAGCGCTGAGGGACATGGGTCACCACCCTGACTCTGATGTTTTTGGCTTCATAAGCAACTTTAGGGCGAATTTTGGATTTGAGTATTTAAGAAAAGGCTGGAAAGGTTGTAGAATGGAGATTTTTCTGTGTGGAGTATTACTGCAGTACTATATTGATGTCAGTGATGGGCTCATTGTCACTGTGTTTCTCTCCATCACTCTTATTCTCTCTCTCTCTCTCTCTCTCTGCAGCCAATCATCTCCAGAACAGCAGTACAAAGCCTGGTGACCCTGGGTAAGTAAACTTTCTCGACCGTTTTCTCCATGACCGTTCTCTCTCACTCATCCCAAGCTGGCTTTTCTGAGTGCTTGTCTTTAACACTCTCTCTTCATAGCTACAGCATGCCAGCCAAGGAGAAGAGGAGCCAGTTCAAACAGAAAGGCCGGAGCATGAACTCCACCGGCTCAGGGAAAAGCAGTGGTACCGTCTCCAGGTATTACACTGCAGCCAAAAACGCACCAGACTCTGCTGGGTCACATTTTCCTCCTGTTCTTTCTGCATGTGCTCACTTTGGGCTCAGGGGTTTTGGGCTGGTCGTGTGGGATCCTCTAGACAGAGGAACACCACTTTTGCATTTGGGTGACTTTGGGGCTAAAACTTGATTTCTTTGAGCTTGTTTTAATGATTTGAAGTATTTTAAAGGCCTAACACTTCTGGTATTAACCCCCTATACTCTAAAGGTCTGTTTGTGGTCCACATTTCAATTCCTCACTCTCTAAAATCAAAAGCTTATGTTAGTTTTATAGTAGTTACTAATTAATTGATAGTAGATACTGAATATTTTGTTGTAGATACTGAATAATTCATAGTAGATACTGAATGATTCACAGTAGACACTCAATAATTCATAGTACATATTGAATAATTCATAGTAGATACTTAATAATTCATGGTAGATATTTAATAATTCATAGTAGGTACTGAATGATTCATAGTAGATACTGAACGATTCATAGTAGATACTGAACGATTCATAGTAGATACTGAATTTTTGCAGTAGATACTGAATAATTCATAGTGGATACTGAACTATTCGTAGTATATACTGACTTATTCGCAGTAGATACTGGATAATTCATAGTAGATACTGAATAATTCATAGTTGATACAGAACTATTTGTAGTAGATACTCAATCATTCGCAGTAGATACTCAATTATTCATAGTATATACTCAATTATTCCTATTAGATACTGAATTATTCATAGTAGATACTGAGTATTTTGTTGTAGCCACTGAATAATTTCTTCCTAGATGAGTCCAGATAGCTAATGTTACTGCTGGGAAGTCTAGCTTCTCCATCAGTGGCTACACTTAGCAGTCAGGATTTCTTTATCCCAGTGGTTGAAATTCTTGATGGTTGTATAACATGTTTATGCAATGCATGATGGGTATTGTAGTGATAAGGCATTGACAGAAGTAATGAAGTAATGTAAAAGTAATGAACTCTGTCAGACTGAGGAGGCTGAGAGACGCAGGGCTGGGATACAAAATGTTCCATACCGACACGACAAAAGCAGATTAAATGTTAGATTTAGGCTGGAATGCTCCTTTATGTGGTTCTCTTTCGGATATTCTGTTGGCTCATTCATCAGGAAATGTTCACTCACTGTAAAGACTTCTTAGGAAGCTTTTTCTTTTCAGTCTTGGTTCTTAGTCTTGCAGTTTTTTTGTGCTGCTGTCTTACTCAGTGATACTAATTAGGTGATTTCTGGACAAACTGCTTTGGGACAGTGTCTGTCAGAGAAAGAGCTGTAGAAATAAAGCTCAGTTGATCTTCCCAGCGTTCTGAATCATAGTTCTTTGCATTTCTCTCTCATAACCTCTGATTTCTTTTAGTGTTTCGGAGCTGTTGGACCTGTATGAAGAAGATCCGGAGGAGATCCTTTATAACCTGGGCTTTGGCCGGGAGGAGCCCGATATTGCCTCCAAAATCCCATCCCGCTTCTTCAATTCACCATCCGGTGCAAAGGGCATCGATATCAAGGTGTATCTGGGAGCACAAATGCAACGCATGGAGCTGGACAACCCCAACTACGCCCTTACCAGTAAGCTTTGAGCCACAAGGCTCAGTCACTTTGATAAGTGGTAAAAGCTCACAAAATTTCTTTAGATTTGTAGCCCAAGCAGGTTTATTTAGAGCAGGGGCTCTTAATCATTTCCACCCCGATGCCCACCTGTGTATAACCACAAAGCATAGCGGCCCGCAGGAAGACTAAAATCATATATATATATATATATATATATATATATATATATATATATATATATATATACATACATACATACATACATACTAAAATAAGCAGCTGAAAATTGCGTTGCGTGCCCAGCTCGAGCCATTAACATGGTAAAATCACACAGGCTCTCTCATCTTACAGCTTTAATAAGTCAGCGCTGCTGTCTTGTCGCAGATCACGGACAGACTTTATCCTGAGTAGAACCTTATAAATGATCCTTGGTCTGTTTTACCTGCTGAAGTGCTGAAGACTGTGGCTGTGTGTACGGTCAGCCCCGAGGTCTTCACCATAAAGCTAAAGTGGACTGGGGCCGTTTTGTTTTCACAATGTACAAATTAATCGAACCACAAAACAAACTACAAACTTGAGAGGTGGTCTCAGTTCGGTTCGTTTTTGGGGCCGTTTAGAGGGTCTGAGTTTGTTTGGCATGTTCACATATGCAAAAGAAACCATGACTCAGCGGTGTCCACTTCAGACGCTGAAACGGCCCAAGTGTGAAACACCCTTAAATGCTGACCCCGAAAAACTTAAAAAATAGGGCCTGAAAAAGATCAGATTGGCCTTTCTGGTTGTCAGTAGGTTTGCAAAATTTGCAGGTATGGTAAAAAAAAAAACATGAAACATTACGCATGGTTGTAGTGATGATTAAAAAGGTAGAAAAAAGGCAAAAAAGAATAGAAATGTACAAGGTAGATGTGATTTGGAGCTGCAGTCCATCACGTTTTCACTGAAAAGTCTCCACCGGCTTTTCCAAAAGAGTAACTGTTTGGTCTTGAGATTTCTTTCTAGTTTTGAGGGTTTTTGTGATTCATTTGAAATAAACCTCACTCACTCATTCACTGGGCTTTTGGATTAGCGTCCAATAAATAACAATAATGATAAATCTTACCTGATATCTGTTTATTTGTTATTGGTTTATCAGTTTGAGTTTAACCACTCAGGCTGCTGATGCTCGACCAAATCTCCGCTCTGCGATCCATGAGTTGGAATCAAACGCATCTCTTTTCTATTATTTTATGGCTCGTCTGTTGTTTTTAACAGCAGCTCATGCTGAGAGTCTAAAGAGTCAGCCATTAAAACAGTCGTTATGCTGACTGTACGGCGCCGTTGTGCCTCTAGAAGAGAAGGAGAGCCAGCTCTACTGATAAATCCCCTTTATTTGGTCACAGAGCGTGTTCATCTGTTTGTTGCGGACCCGAATACAGGTGGAGTGTTCACACACGTCAAAACGGAGGGAACTGAAGGAAAAGTTGTGATAAGTTTACACCAAACAAAGCGCCCAGAGAAACTTTTCCATCTCTGACCCGCTGTCTTCGTTGTGCGCCCGCGGCTGCGTGGTCTCAGACTGATATCGTTTATATGTGCTTTTAAAGGGGAATTCCACCAAGTTTCTGTATAATAATTCATATATTGAGATGTAAACAGAGTCTTTCGGAGTGCTTTGGTGTGAGATGGTTCATTGTTGAGACTCACAGTGGTGGTGATAGGAGGAGTTTTTATATGTAATGTTGATGATCTGGAAAATCTGGAAAAAATTAATACCAAAACTCTAAAACAGCATCTCAGACATCATGCACTGCATTCATAACCATATCAGGTTATAACGTTCATGTGAGGGAGCTTTTAGAGTCATTAAACTCTTCAGACGTCTGGTTCCTATCACCACCGCTGTGAACAATTCTGACTGTGTAATTTTCTCTAGTATGAACCGTTTCACGACACACTACTCTGAATGGCGTTATTTGCATCTCAGCAAGTTAATTATACAGAAATGTTGAAAAAACCTAATAATAGTATGTAAAAGAATATATATATACTATATTTTTTGTTTACAAACTATAAATATATATATAGGTGTGTGTGTATGTGTGTGTGTATGTGTATACACACACACACGCACATATAAATATGAAAATAATTTCAGAAAAAGAAAAGAAAAACTTTTGAAGGTTGCTGTATTGTCTTCATGCTGGTTAAACATCTGCCTGCACACGCTCCTGAGGTGATGATAGAAAGAGAGAGAGAGAGAGAGAGAGAGAGAGAGAGAAAGTTGTCCTGTTCTCAGCACAGGTAGCTGCCGCCCACTCTGTGACTCTCGAGCTGGTTCTTTATCCCACAGGATTCGTTTTTACTGGAAGAACAGATCATTTCTGGACCCTCTGTGGTTATTTGAGTCATATAAACCGCAGCGTTTCAGTAAACGTTCAGAAACTCGTTCTCAGACCGCAGCACGTTCGTGGTCGGCGTATGGAACTCTGGCACAACGAATTCAACTAGAAGTTTATTACTGTTCAAACAGCACATGAACTCTACCACTTTACCCCGTAATCATTTTCTCTAAAGGAGAACAAGAAAGTGAAAGAGAACGAGAGAGAAGATCTCCCACTTCCACTTTTCCAATCTCCTCTTCTAACTTTCTCATTCTCTGTTGCTGACTTTATCTCTCTCTCTCTCTCTCTCTCTCTCTCTCTCTCTCCCTCTTCTCTCCCTCTCTTTTGCTTTTTCTTTTTCTTTCTTTCTTTCTTTCTTTCTTTCTTTTTCTTCCCTCTCTCTTGCTTTTTCTTTCTTTCCTCTCTCGCTCTCTCTCTCTTGCTCTCTCGCTCTCTCGCTCTGTCTCTCTCTCTTGTTCAGTTCAGTTCAGTTTGGGTTTCAGTTCAATTCCAGACGCTGCTCTGGATGGAGATATAAAGATCTTTTTTGTTTACACAGTTTAAGACAATCAATTTTATTTTTGAACAATAAAATAAAATTAAAGATTTTAGAAGTGCGCTCTCTCTCTCTCTCTCTCTCTCTCTCTCTCTCTCTCTCTCTCTCTCTCTCTCTCTCTCTCTCTCTCTCTCTCTCCTGAGCCCACACTGAGGGGGATGACCCAGTGCTTAGGGTGACCCAGACTGTGCTGAATGGACACAGGACACAAGGGCACCATTGTCACCCATGGGCCGAGAGAGAGAATGATGGGAAACAGAGAGAGAGAGTGAAAGAGGGAGAGAATGATGAGAGACAGAGAGAGAGAGTGTCTGGCTAGTGGTGACCGTCTGCCAGGCGGCTCTCCGGCACATATTTGCATACAGCTAACAGGGGGCAGAGCGGAGCAGGAACAGGAAGGACCTGGAGGAGTGTTAATGTGTTTTGCTGTCGTCATCGTCGTTGTTGTCGTCGTTGTTGTTGTTGTTGTTGTTGTCGTCTGTGCTGTTTTTATCCCTGAGAATTCGATCCCTTGGATCGGGGCTTATAGCATTCGGCCCTCTTCATTTTGACTGTCCTCTACAGCTCATCAGCAAATGCTCACATTATTGACCCTTTAAGGCGGATGGATAAAAAGCAGCCTTTACTGCTGTTTAATTGCATTTATTTGATTTGTAAAGAATATGATCTAACCAAGCTAAAACTTAAGGGATATTACATTTGTTTTGTGTCAGGAATCAACTTTTTTGAGCAAGAAAACAAAAATATAAATGTCAGATAACACCTGGTCAGCAGAACAGGGCTGATAAACTGGGTAGAAACAGATGGTTTATAGTCTGTAACTGTAAAGCTACAAAGTGCACTGGTGTGCTAGGTGTTTCTGACCAAGCCTATTATGGATACAGTTACAGAATAATCGCCTAATCGCAGTAATTTGAGATGATTGCAATTATTGGAGTGCAATAATTTTACACTGTTGTTAGATTTGCTAGATTTGCATCAATTATGCTGTTAGATATCAAATTATGCTGCAACAAGCAGAATGTGAATGGAGTGTGTTGGGTTGAGGCACATAAATGTAAATATAAGAAAGCAGTAAATGCACTTATTAGCCATGTTTACACACCCCTTGATAATCCATCAATAATCCGACTAAAAGCTCAATCAGAATAGAATACATCCATGTAAACACCTTAGTTAGAATAGACTAGTCAGATAGTCCGATTGAACGAGGTGGGTAATCCTGTAAATAATCCGTTAAATAGAAGAATAATATCCGTGTAAACGCCTGTATCTGATTACATTCCCTATCGGAAAGATTAAGTACATTCTGATCATGTTCGTCACATCATAGTGAAAGTTTATAACGTTCAGCATGGCGGAGCAGAAACTGGTCTGCAGAGGAGACGAAGTTTATGCTCTGATCTTTAAAAGACGGCGGTGGGACGGACGTCCAGCTTATGTGTCTCAGAACACGACGTCTTCCTCTCGGCCTTCTTTAATAGTCTGACATCATTTTAAAGTAATTAAAAACACAAGCGCTGCTCACTGCTGCTCGTCTCACTCTGACTGGACTCACGTGATGCTGGTTGTCATGGTAACATCTACATTAAGTGGTTCTCTACGCATTGTGTGTAATTTTGGATCGGATTACTTGTAGTGTTCATGTAAACAGAGATTTTCATCAGGTTGTTGAGCAGAGTGAGCCTCAGTCTTAATATATAATCAGAATGTGTTCAATCAGGTTAGCAAAAATCTTTGTAAACACAGTCAAAGCGACGTATCGTGGAAAATTTCTAACATGGTGCTTTAACATGTTTACAGGGCAGCGCAAGTAATGTTTGTTTGTTAGCTACATAGCTAATTCAAACTTTTTTTAGCATGTATGCTGACAGAGTGAGTGTATTTTGTTTATTTTCACTTAAACAAATGTAGCTTTGCTCACATGATTCTGTGTAACTGTAGACATTTGTTTAAGTAAATATATCTAGAAATGAAGATGGCTAATTAGCTAATTTGGCTGCTTTAGGCTTGTACTTTAATAGTTGCGTACAGTGAACAAGAAAGGACAATTAAATCGCTAACCGCAACTATTTATGACAGTCATCAGCTAAAGTTTGGTGATTGTGAGCATTTCATATGGCGTTTGCTTCCTAATGTACACCAGCTGTACATAACTTTACATAACAGTATATAATTTACATAATAATACATAACTTTCAGATTAACTTCTTAGTATTTTCTAGACTAGCCGGCACCGCCTGCTGCGCCCCTCGCTCGGCCAGCTACTTCTGGCACTGCTGCAGGTTACAAGCTCAGAGGCTTCGCAGCTTCTCAGCTAAAAATAATTTTGATGACTAATATTTACCAAATTCCAGCATCGTCTGACGCTCATAGATGAGAATTTGAGCATAAGAGACGCACAAATGAGGCAAATGACTTTTACCTCGTTAGGATTAGAAATTCGTTCAATAAAAATATTTTATATTGACTTCGGTTCTTATTGAAAGTGAAGTTACATCCCAGAATAAAACAACATTGTTAATCTTACTTAAGCTTTTATTAAGTTTTATTTAAAAAAAGTATGTATGCATAAAACATCAATACAAATATATACAAATATACCAAAACTGTCATCTAAATTATGTGATAATTTTATAGCCATACTGCCTGCTACTTGTAATTACTGAAAAATGAATAGCAGATACTAAATAAATCATAATAGTTACTGAATAATTCCTAGTAGTTACTGTGTAATTGATGGCATTTATTGAATAATTTCTTGTAGTTACTGAATAATTCACATTAGATGTTCTATAGCGTATGTAGTTGCTGATTAATTTATGATAGTGGTTACTTTATTTATCATAGATACTGAAGAGTTCATAGTAGATGCTGAATTATTTGCAGTAGATGCTTAATAAATCATAGTAGATGCTGAATTATTTGCAGTAGATGCTTAATAAATCATAGTAGATGCTGAATTATTTGCAGTAGATGCTCAATAATTCATAGTAAATGCTGAATAATTAATAGCGGTCATTGAATAATAAGACTTACGATGAATAAATGATTAAGTTTACTAGTGTTGAGCTGCTGGTCAGTTATTAGTTAAAAGAGGTTGTTAGATATGATGTCTAGAAAGTTCTGCCGCTGCAGACTCCCACACTGTCTTGTTGACTTTTGTTGCATAACATCTGTTTCTCTCCCAGAATGCAGTGTGGGGCGGAGGGGACATGTGTGTGTGTGTGTGTGTGTGTGTGTGTCTCTGATCAAGAAGCTTGTGAAGCTTTCAGTGTAGAGTGGTTTTTTTTCTGCTCTTGGCTTGTTTTCCTGTGGGCCATGCCTGAACGCTTAGTCACTGTATTTTTGCTGAGGGAAAAGGCTGCCGAGGCCACGATAGCTGCCGTCTCGTACTTTCACTGACAGCTCGTGTCACTTTCTTCAGTATCGCACTAGTGCATCCGTGGAAAAGCTGTCAGTTTAAAAATGTGATCGCATTTTAGCTGATGTGCTTGAGTCGCAGGATTTGTATGTATGAGTGTGGACATTTGTTACTTGTTGGAAACTCCAGTCATTGTCCATTCCAGCAGTTATGACCATTTGCTGATGGGCAAAAGCTCATTTAGCCAAACAATGATGGAAATGCTCAGAACGCAACACTTCTTGTTCGGTTTTGTGGATTATTTTTATTTTTAATTTGTTTTTTTCCTTGTGTAGGCCGATTCCGCCAGACGGAGGTTTTGGCCACTGTGGCCAATGTCTTCTCCGAGATCTACTCTCAGGTGTCCGGCCGACCACTCCAGAGAATCGGCACCAAGGAGGCGGAGCCTAAAGAGCCCCCCCTACTGAGGAATAACAGCTCTGCCCTCAACGCAGCGAAGATCCTGAAGAAGAGCCTCACCCGCCCAAACCTTCTGAACACAACGGAGGGAGGGCACAGTCAGCCTGGCGCGACCTCTGACCCTAACGGAGCGGAGAGAGGGAGTCTTCGTGACCTCCATTCAGACTCGGAGCCCAAACCACAGAAGGTTTTCTGGAAGAAAGACTCTTCTCCTCATCTGGCGACAGTGACGGAGGAATCTCTTCAGGTAGGAGCCTGAGCAGTAAAATAATAACAATAAATGATAATAATAATGTTTTTTAATAATTATAAAGTGCCTTTCTCTAAAATCTAAATGAATAAAATAAAAAATATAGCACTACACACCACAGAGATGTATACAGAACTAGATTGCTGATGTCACAAAGTACACAGTGAAGTCAGGCCACTTGGGCCCAATCCCATTTCTTCTTTTTACCCCTACCCCTTGTTTTCGAATGTCACCCTAACCCCTTGGAACTGAGTTACAAGGGGTAGTGGTTAAAAACTTGCCCTACGAAATGGGACCCTCAAATAAATAAATAAATAAATATAAAAAAAACATCGCTTCATTAACAACCTACCAGCGCTGCTCTGTAGGCGACCCTGCCAGTCTGCAGTGACAGCGGAGGAGGGTAAAGTTCAGCTCCTCACTGCTGGGCTTTAGTTACATTTAGGGCATCATATGACTTCAAAGAGGGGGGCAATTATTTATTATCACCCACTCCAATTATTTGGTGATATGAAGCTGAAGTCAGATATTCTCCAGCTTCTTTTTCAAATTTTCCCATTCCACCTTAAATGGTGCAGCAGTAACATTCTGGCGCTCCTGGCGTCAGAACTGCTGGACTATTTAAGGTGGAATGGGAAAGTTAGCTAGCTACTAAGAAATTAGCATGCTATTAGCGATTTTTTTTGTGCTTGTTATGAAGAAAATGACCAAAATACAGTGAAACGACATTAAACTAAGATAAAACAGTGATTATCATATTTTTTTAACAGAGAAAATTCTCACATTTGTGGGTTTCTTCGGTCTCTTGTTCTCCATCTTGCCGGTTATTCTTTTTTCTCATAACTCTCTGTTTGGAGTCTCTGAAAAACCTCTGTTTGGAGGGTCATGTAGCCCCAACACTTCACCCTCCCCATCTATCTCAACTAAAATTGGGACACCCTACCCCCTAGACGTGAACAGAGGGCAAAACAGAGGGCTAAGGGCTCAGTGGTAGGGGCGAGGAGTGAAATGGGATTAGGCCTTTGCCGCCATATTGGTACTTTCTCTCTACACTGTAAAATAAATGCGTGTCTATGGATGCAACGAAAACATATTCACAAAAAATGCAAATATAACCAAAAAATGCTGGAATGTTCTGTGTTTTCTTGCTAAAATATCAAATTCATAGGGTGTGGCCGAATGACTCATATGGAAGTGTCTAACATAAGCTAAACTAGGCTATCTGATCCCATATTTCATAGCGAAGGGTGTAGCTGTTTGAATATTTAGATATCTAAACACATTAATATTCACATAGCTCAATTTGGGTGTCTGAAAAGGCACGTGCAGTTTGGAATAAAGATGTAAATAAATAGTGCATTATCTTTATTATCTGTAATCTTTAAATGGTTTTTGGACAGAGCATGCTGGTTAATGCTGGTCTGGTGCTGGTTTGGCTGGTCACCCAGTTTGGTCATGCTGGTTGACCAGCATACCAGCGTCCAGCACAAAACAAATCATCGTTGTCCATCGATGTACCTCCATTTTTGTCGAGTTTTATTTTTATATACCATTCGGACTTTGGTGGCTGTGTTTACATTTTGTAAACTTTTTTAACAATTAATGGTCTCCAAAATTACTTGATACAAAAAGTCTTTACATTAACTTCCATTAAAAGTTAAGAAAAGTTACTGTTTTTGGAGATACATATTTTCTTTGGACAACAATGACATGCTGGCTTGGTGGTTTGGCTGCTGGTCAGGATACCACCATCTAGGACACAACATGCACTGGTTTTGTTGGTTTGTGCTGGTTTTTCTAGCGGGGCTTGAGCTGCAGTGAGTTCCATATTGCATGTAACCTATGATTGCAGTCACCAACAGCATGTATATGAAGTAAAATGTCAGAAAACATCCTAAACATGTTCTGTATAAGAATGTGGGTAGGTTTAGCTAACTCTCGGCTAATTAGCTCAGATAGCTAACAGGCTAAGACGCTCTGTCGTTAACATTGAGAGTGAGGCTGAAACTTATTCAGTTATGTGAACTTCAGCTTAAACTGTCCTCGTTCATGTAGAGCCGCCGTAAGCAGCATAAAATCCAGCGTGGAGGTGGAAAGTACACCTCAGCTGGGTGCTAATAAGTATATATACTCATTTATTTATTTATTAAGTGGTGCTTGAAAGTTTGAACCTTTTAGAATTTTTCATATTTCTGCATAAATCTGATGTAAACCTTCAAGTCCTAATAGTAGATAAAGAGAACCAAATTAAACAAATGAGACAAAAATATTAGACTTGGTCATTTATTTATTGAGGAAAATTATCCAGTATTACAGATCTGTGAGTGGAGAAGTATGTGAACTTTGAGGATTAGCAGATAATTTGAAGGTGAAATTAGGGTCAGGTGCTTTCAATCAGGTGAGTGACCACCCTGTTTTATTTAAAGAACAGGGATCCATCACAGTCTGATCTTCACTACATGTTTGTAGAAGTGTATCAGGGTATGAACAGAGGAGATTCCTGAGGACCTTAGAAGAAGAGTTGTTGATGCTCATCAGGCTGGAAAAGGTTACAGTTTAATTATAGTTTAATTTGGTTCTCTTCATCTACTTTTAGGACTTGTGTGGAAATGTGATGAAGCTTTAGGTCAAATTTATGCAGAAATATAGAAAATTCTAAAGGGTTCACAAACTTAGTAGATATTAGGGGTGCGGGAAAAACTCGATTCTGAATCGATTCACAAGTGTCAAAAGTGTCAAAAATCGATTTTCTAAATATTTAATTTATAATGTAATGTTGACGGAACGCAGAAGGCGGAACTTGGAAGTGGGTAAGTGCAGCGCCCGGACAGTCTGTGGCGGCACATAACAAAAACACAACTGGATGAGTGAGAAATCCGAGCGGCTCCCTCTGCATTAAAGCCAGGTTAGATCAGGAGTCACAACACAAATGATGAGAAGAGCCATTTTGACCTTTCAACAAAAATCAAACCAGTTTGGGAGCCACAACATTTAATGTCCAGTATGTGATAATATCCTAGTATAGGCTAAACAATGTAAACGAGAGCGCACTTACTGTGCTCTGCTTTAAGCTGTAGCCGCCACCTCTTTCCGCCAGGAAACTTTTATTCAAAACCAGAGCAGCTTCCTGTAAAATGTCTCTCAGTGTTCGACTGTTTTACGAGGCTGAAGTCGCTTCTTATTCTCCAGCTTCTTGTTCGAATTTTTACGTTCCACCTTAAATTCTGGCCGAGGCGCCGAATGTAAATGCAACACTATTTAAGGTGGAACGGGAGAATTCGAAAGAGAAGCGACTTCATCTTCGTAACTGTTTAGTGTTTCACAGTCTCTCATTGCAGATTTAACGGACCAGGAAACCAACTGCGCTGCTTATAAATGCGAATAACGCATCGCTGCTATGTGACCTGCAGTCTGCACGGCGGTTCTCAGTCGTTGCGAAACAGGGCCTTTTTCGCGCAATGTTGCACACGACCCGTCTCAAAGATACTTTACTGACACAGCGATTCCCCTGCCCCACTCTCTACAATGAGACCAAAACCGAAGTTATAAAATATATATTTTTGTTAAAAAAAGTATGAAATAGTTACTTTTTTTGGGTTAAGATTTTTCTGCCCTGTGCTCTTCAGGGTGGCGTGAACGCTGTAGAAGGAAAGTCCGCTCTGATTCACGAAGCCCCGTGTGGAGAGCCGCCGCCCATTCCTGGCGCTCCAGTCGTGGTCAGCATCACCGATGTTTCGGGGAAGAATGGTGATGCTCCGGCCAGTGAATTGGCTGTGAGCGAGGACAGAGAGCGCCAGAAGACGGTTCCCTCGTCCACGCCGGATAGAGAAACGTGCTCCCTGCTGCCCAACCCACACATGAATCACCTCCGCACTGAGCCCAGAGACTCCTTCGAGATGGAGGAGGTACAGTACTGTTCACGTCTGCATTTACATCTGCATTCACACTTAATTTCAAAGTCTGTAATGTTTTCATTAATACGGTTTCCTTAATACATTAATGTGAACACGGTACTGTGCAAAATTTGTAGGCGTCTGAGAGAAAACGGAACCAAAAACGAATCTAAAACCACCAAATTAGAAAAGATACAAGTAACATTTACACAGTAAGCAGTGATTTTATGTAGCGAGCGCACTACATACGTGGTGGTGGTGTGTTAGTGTGTGTTGTGCTGGTCTAAGTGGATCAGACACAGCAGTGCTGCTGGAGTTTTTAAACACGTCAGGGTCGCTGCTGGACTGAGAACCTAAAACATCCAGCCAACAGCGTCCTGTGGGCAGCGTCCTGTGACCACTGATGAAGGATGACCAACACAAACTGTGCAGCAGCAGATGAGCTATCGTCTCTGACTTTACATCTACAAGGTGGACTGACAAGGTAGGAGTGTCTAATAGAGTGGACAGTGAATGGACACAGTGTTTAAAAACTCCAGCAGCACTGCTGTGTCTGATCCACTCAGACCAGCACAACACACACTAACGCACCGCAACCACGTCAGTGTCACTGCAGTGCTGAGAATGATCCACCATTAAAGAATTATGAAGAGAAACAGATGGACGACAGTCTGTGATTGTAATTGTGGAATATTTGAGTATGAAAGCTTTCAGTAGTTGTAGCCCTATTAATATTTTGAAAAGCAGTCAGAGTGTGTGTGTGTGTGTGTGTGTGTGTGTGTGTGTGTGTGTGTTCTTGTGTTGCTATACATGCCCCCATGTCCTCTCTATGATAGGACTAGATGGAATTTTTGCTCAAGGGAGGACATTTTGCTGGTCATCACTTGAGCATGTGTTGTTTTCACCACAATTACTTTTTTTATTTGAAAACTGAAAAGGCAGAAAATTTTCCTTTTGGATACTGAAGTTAAGGTTAGGGTTAGGTGTCGTATTATTTAGCTACAGTAACACAAAAATCAATAGAAACCTATGGACATCCATGGACATGTGTAGAGTGTGTGTGGAGTGTGTGTGTGGAGTGTGTGTGTGGAGTGTGTGTGTGTGTGGAGTGTGTGGAGTGTGTGTGTGTGTGTGTGTGTGTGTGTAGAGTGTGTGTAGAGTGTGTGTGGAGTGTGTGTGTGTGTGTGTGTGTGTGTAGAGTGTGTGTGGAGTGTGTGGAGTGTGTGTGTGTGTGTGTGTGTGTGTAGAGTGTGTGTAGAGTGTGTGGAGAGTGTGTGTGGAGTGTGTGTGTGTGTGTGTGTGGAGTGTGTGTGTGTGGAGTGTGTGTGTGTGTAGAGTGTGTGTAGAGTGTGTGTAGAGTGTGTGTGTGTGTGTGTGTGTGTGTGTGTGGAGTGTGTGTGTGTGTGTGTGTGTGTGTGTGTGTGTGTGTGTGTGTGTGGAGTGTGTGAAGGTAATAAAGTCTTCTTTCTGCTTCAGTTGCCGAGTAACGATGATGAGGCTGTTCCTGGAACTCGCTGTATCTCCAGAGCTGGCAGTGGTGAGTGTTTCTGTGTCGACTTCTGTTACTGTAAAAACTCTAACAGCTCTTAAAAAAGACGGTTCTTCAAGGGTTCTTTAGTAAAGAAAATGGTTCTATATGGAGCAATGAACACTCAAAGAACCCTTTGCATGATTAAACCATCCTTTGCATCATTAAAGCGTTTTTCAGACTGATGGAGAGTGTTTTATATGGTTGAAAGGGGTTCTATATAGAACCAAAAAGAGTTCTTCTATTGTGACAGGCTTGACATCGTAACGATAGAAAACGACATTTTGGTGCTATATTGAACCCTTTTCAAAAAGGTGTGTTTATGGTTCTATATAGAACCATTGTCTTTAGTAAAGAACCCTTGAAGAGCCATTATTTTTAAAAGTGTGTATATAGTGCCAAAAAGGGTTCTTTCGTTGTTACGATGTCAAGCTTGTATCAATAAAAGAACCCTTTTTAATGCTATATAGAACCCTTTTCAAAAAGGTTCTACATGTATCTAGAACCATACGTAGAACCTTTTCAAAAAGCTGTGTTCATGGTTCTATATAGAACCATTGTCTTTACTAAAAAACCCTTGAAGAACCATTATTTTTAAAAGTGTATATAGCACCAAAAAGGGTTCTGCTATTGTTATGATGTCAAGCTTGTATCAACAGAAGAACTGTATTTGGTTCTATATTTTTCAGACAGGTTCTACATGTATCTAGAATCATATATAGAAACCTTTTCAAAAAGGTGTGTTCATGGTCCTATATAGAACCATTCTCCTCACTAAAAAACCCTTGAAGAACCATTACTTTTTAAAAGTGTGTATGTAGCGCCAAACAGGGTTCTGCTATTGTTATGATATCAAGCTTATATCAACAGAACTGTATTTGGTGCTATATAGAGCCCTTTCCAAAAAGGTTCTATATAGTGCTATATGACACACATCTCCATCAATCTGAAGAACCCTTTCATAAGGCAAAGAATCTTTTTATTTACTAAAGAACCCTTGAAGAACCATCATTTTTAAAAGTGTATACAGCGCCAAAAAGGGTTCTGCTGTTGTTACAAAGTCAAGCTTGTATCAACAGGAGAACTGCATTTGGTGCTATATAGAGCCCTTTCCAAAAAGGCAAAGAACCTTTTTATGTACTAAAGAACCATTGAAGAACCATCATTTTAAGTGTGCTGTCATTGATACATACAGCTGAATGTAAGGTTAATGATGGTGAGCATCTACAAAACATCCCCAGTGGACCATGCAGACAGTAACCGTGCAGTAGAGGCCCCAACGGCTACCTTCAGCAATCCCAGCTGGTCCTCTAAAGAACACGTAATACAATTTTTATGGAAACACTTTCTATGAATGTCACCTTTGTAAGCATCTATAAAGACAACCATAACATGTTATAATGCATTCATAAGACATTATAAACATAGCTATAAATATTTATAAAAATGCATTATATGTTATAGCCATGTTTATTATGCATTATGAATTGTTAACATAATACATTATAAGTACTGATCATAACAAATTATAAGAGCTCATAAGTCGTATTTGTCCGCTCTAAGTAAAGTGAAGCGTACTGTACTAAAGCCTCCTCCAGTGTTCAGAGTGAGGCTTCAAGTTGAAGTATTTACTGAAGGATTTACTGAAACACTAAAACATACACAGTAAAGCTCATTACAGGCTTCAAATGTCAGAGTTTAAACTAGAGCTGCCATCAGTGTTTTACCCAATGTGGGAAAGGTAATGTTCACCACCGTTAGCTTGGTATTTGTCTTTACTTTACGCTCTCCAAGCTGGGACTGACTTCTTTGGCACTGACATTATAACATGTTATTAACACTATTTATAATGCATTAAATTAACAATTCATAATTTATAATAAACATGGCTATCAAATGTTATTCAGTGTAATTTTTTATAAATATTTATAACCATGTTTATAATGCCTTATGAATACATTATAACATGTTCTAAATGTGTTTATAGATGCTTACAAAGGTGACATTCATAGAAAGTGTTACCATTTTGATGTCCTGATAGTTTAACTTTGTCATTTCCAAAAGCAGCTGAAGCACAAGTTTCAGATTAGCCTTCGTATCACAGAGCACTCTGGAAAAGAGAGCTTCTGTGGATCGTGGTGAGTTGAATTAGTCCGAGCCGATGTTTTGAAGAACGTTGCTGCTAAAAATACAGCGAGGCCTCTATCAAATCAGAGTGACCCATCCCAGAACAGACTCAGTTCCAGGCAGAGGGAGTTTGCTTAACTGAATTATTACACAAGCGCTCTGAGTGGCTCGGTCCACGACCCTGAGAACAAAACATCCACGAGGGCTGAGAATGTGGCTGAACAGTGGACGCAGTGGATCAGGACTGCCCTCTAGTGGTGGATTCCAGAAACCTCACCAAGGCTGGGTTGTGTTTATAATCCAGGCTCAGGTCTGTTTCGCTCACTCTGTCTCTCCGTGGTGTGAGTGACACAAAACGTCTTGCTTTTTATTTTGGTGTTTTGTGCCGCTGCATCCAGAGAACAGCTGTGAAGACTATTTTGTAGCTAACTGTGAAAATGAATGAAAATAAAACAAAAGAAAAACAGACTGAAACAACACTGAAATGCTAGTCAAACATTTTGTGCTACATACACACTTTCTGGTAGATGCTCAGGCTCAGGTCAGGTCAAGTTGGAAGACTGCAGAGCCGAGGAACATGCTTTTATTTGATGGATTGTCTTGGAAAACGTCTGTAACTGGTTTTAAGCAGTATATATATCATCCCCTTGGAATTATAAGGTTCTGTCTGCATTCTGAGCAGTTTTGAGATACTGACCTTCAAAGATTTTGCATTTCAAATAGCAAAACTGATATTTGGAACACGTCTCTTTATACATGACAGGGACAGACACCCTGAGTCTGTTCTAAATGTACGAAATCAAAATCTGGTCAGATTTGTAAATGAGTTTTTTTGGAACAGATAAAATGCAGATTTTCAGTGATTTTCAAGGAACACGAACAGCTTATATTCGTAATTTGTTTTTAACACATAAAATTAGTGTAACAGAGTGTCTACATGTACCAGAAAGCGAAGTTCAATGCTTTCTATGACATTTGATGGCATTTATTTGTATTATTTATTTATTTTTTTATGACGTTTATTACTTGTTCATTTTCATTTTAAAATCATTTTTTTTTCTTATTCAAAAAAGCTTTGCAGATTAGGTATAAAGTTCAGTACTAAATGTTTTGTCCAGTGCAGAGGTCAGTTTTAAATAGAAACCATTAGTTTAAGTTTCCTTTAGGTTAGACAGCAGCTAGTGACTGTAATAAACTGTCCCAGCAGGTCAGTGTAGCAGGTCAGTCTAAAGGCAGAATGAGGTTCTGTTTTACATCTGAAATGTGACTCTAATGAGCCAAAACGTCCTATTTTGGGAGAAAGAAGAAAAAGAGAAGATGAATGAATGAATGAAGTTAATGTTTATGTTGTGATTAAGACCCCATCAATTCAGATATATGCTGTTTAATGACTTTTAAGAATTAATATTTATAAAACTTAAGATAATAAAACTTTTTAAAGAACTACAAGAAGACAGGCAGAGTTTCAGCAGCATGTTTTCATGTTCATAAAACTGTATGAAAGTTATATATATATATATATATATATATATATGTATGTGTGTGTGTGTGTGTGTGTGTGTGTGTGTGTGTATAGCAATTTCAGTAAGAGAAACTAGCCATGATAGTAGGTTTGCTTGAGCTACTCCTTTACTTGTTTACAGTCTCCAAAATCACTGACTCTCTCTCTCTCTCTCTCTCTCTCTCTCTCTCTCTCTCTCTCTCTCTCTCTCTCTCTCTCATATTTTTCCCATTTATGTCCAGAGAACTTATTAAGAACGGCTAGTCAGCAGTCCGACAGCAGCGGCTTTGCGGAAGACCCCGTAACAGACGGTTCAGCGAATCCGAACTTGAAGGTGCGTGTGTGCAACTCTAACCTCTGTAGAACTCCTAACAGTGGTTCCCATTCCCAGGATACTGTCAGATACTGTACACGTACATTATTGTTCATCAAAGTACCAACAGGATAAATATACCCTCAAAGGTATAACAGTGGCCTTAAGGTCCATCTGTGTCCCCAAAATAAGCTTTTCCCAAGAAAAAAGTACATATTTGTGCCTTTTCATAACCGAATGTTTTAAAATAAATAGAATAAAAGGCCTGAAGTGAAAAGGAGATGTATGGACTCACTGCAACTACAAATGAAATGTAGTACAGATGTGTTTCGTTAAGTACAGCCACTTTTCCACTGCATGGAACTGACCCGACTCTACTCGCCTGTTTTGGTTTTGCCGTATTTATTGCCACTGTTTTTTTCCTGCTTTAAAGTCAATTTCTTTTCAAAGCATTCTATCACACAGGTAGTCTAATTTGCATGGCCAGATAAACCTGTCGTTACTGAGGCAGCTTTATCAGACGGGTCCTCGTGCAGGAGGCACATTTCATGTAAATGGATTTTATTAGGATGTTACTGTTTTTCCTTATGCCTGGTGCTAAATGCAGTTGTATCTGGTCAACTGGATATACAGTACTGTGTGAGACTGTTAGGCTCATATCAGGAACTAAGCCTGTGTTTTTCCCCCCTTTTTTCCCTTTTTTAATTAAACTCCAGTTACTCACTTTTTCAATTCAATAAGCTTTATTGGCCATATTCAGTTACAGTATTGCCAAAGCATCATCAAGAAGGAAAAAGAAAAGAAATAAAATAAGAAAAATGAACCTTTAAAACATTTCAGAGTATAAGAACTCTTAATTTCATTTGATAGAAAAATAATTATGACAGGAATCAAATAAAAGAACAGTAAAAAATAGCAGTTTGGAATTGAGTTGTGAAGAAAATTAAGAGGGAGAAAAAATAAATAATAAACATTTACATAAACACATAAAGGTGTTTACTCTTTGCACAATATTAGAATTAAATGAAAACCGTGTAAGAGATGATCCGAAATTGCCTGGCAAGAAATATCTTGTTACAGTGACTTTCATTACAAGTTAAGCATGTTTTTTTTTTTCCTTCTCTTCTTTCGTAAAATTGCTTTTTTGGAGAGACAAGGTTTCATTTCCAACAGTAGAGAATATATGTGAATACAGCAAACTCTCTCTCTCTCTCTCTCTCTCTCTCTCTCTCTGCATGTCTATCTCTATCTCTCATACGTGAGAGTTTGCTGTCAGATCAAAACAAAAAAATCAAAAAAATGGGGCGACGTGTGACGATATAGAGTTTCGAATATGATTATGCACTGAAGAGCTGATCCTGGGTCTGTCTGTACAAAGACCCAACGTAGTGTGTGGTTTTCACAGCATTGAATTTCCTGAGCGACTGAATAGTTCAGATTTCCTTACAGTCACAGTGAATTTCAGACTTGTTTTATATCCCATTAGCACATTGACTGTAAAAGAACTGATGTTTTTACTGGCTTTCTGATGTTTAATTAGGCAGATTGCCATGAAAAATATGTAATATTGTTTCAGACACTTGAAGGGACAGTGAGTTAATATCTGTTTAATGCTGGGAAATGATTTATGAAGGTCTTGCACAAATCAATGAATGTTTTAAATAAAAAAACCTGAAACTTAGAAAACCATGATAAAAAAAAACAACTTTTCAACAAGTTTAAATTACAGTGACTAAATCTTAATATCTCGTCATACAAACTTACTTATGGAAAGTTGAAAATGTGTACTTTTGACCAAACATCTCTGCTTGTGTCAATAACGAGTGAGAGATTATTAAACAATATTAGATGTTTCAGGGTTTACATGCCACCAATGCTGGAGGGTAAAACAGTGAAGTTCTTTCAGGCACTGAATCTCGACTGCTTTGTGATTGCAACTCAATCTCTGTTTCAGGTCCAGGAGAGCTCGGACAGCTGCGACAGCGAGACGACCGTGACCTCTCATGCCGGTGGGGTCAGCACACCCTTGGCTTTGGAGCACCCTGCTTTTGAGAAGCTTCAGGGTGACGAGGGACACCTTGGCCTAACTGGAGTGGCGGAGGACTTTCCTAAATACACGGCCCATCAGGTCCCACGACATGAAATCCCAGATCAGACCGTGCAGGAGACGGAGAGCGGCACTGATGGGTCTGAGACGCAGATTCCATCAGATAGACTTTTTAGTTCTATGGAGACGAGCTCGAGCATCGAATCTGGGTCCACTGTAACTGTAGAGTCAGGAGATCAAGAATTCTCGATAGATTCAGCTTCTGCAGGTGTAGATACGACGTCAGAAGGTGCGGTTGGCTCTACCACAGAGCATGATGGCACAGCAGAGATGGACCCTTCATTACAGTCTTCCACTACGTTAGACGCCACAGTGGAGCCTGACTCCAGCTTAAAGAGAGGACCTTTACAAAAGCAAGTTGGTCCACAGTCTCAAAGGGGCAGAGATCAGATCCGTAGCACCTCTGAGAAGGTCCGGAGCGCCTTACTTCGGGCCGAGCAGCGGTCATCTTCAGTTTGCGAGGACCGGGTAGGTCGGGTTTGGATCCGGAGAAAGGATCTGTTTAGGGATCGAGACGATGAGACCAGAAACCCACTGAGAAGGTCTAGCTCCCTTCCGAACTCATTGCTGAGCCCAACCAGGGTGGTATCATCTGTGCGAATCCAGCTGGGCGGCGGTTCGGTCCGGCATTGCACCCCTCCCGCCTACAGCTACAAATACGAGGAAGAAAGGGAACGGGACGAGGCCGATTCCATTGCAGAGGAAGACGAATATGCAGAGGAAGCTCAGTCCACCTGTAGATCCACTCTCCTTATCCAGCAGACATCCACAGAAAGTGAGTCGTTCAGGCCGCCCCCATACCCACTGAATGTGCCACCGCACCTCACCCGGTCAGCTAGCTCACTCTACAGCGTTCCTGCTGACTGGCCTTTGCGACGTCTGGCTGAAGGTCCAGTTTGGAGTACCAACAGTGTCCCGGATTTGACCCACACTGCAATGCCACATTCAACACTTCCACAACAAAGCCAGCACCACTTGCCTCATTACAGAGGGGGCACTAGCTCACCGTACCCCCCCAGCAAACCTGTTAACTACCCCAGTCACGGTGTTGTCCCAGGCTCGCTCAACAGCCCACTCAGCCACATACTGAGTCCCCCGTATGCTCAGTATACACAGCCACAGGACTCGTTGCATCCTCACTCGCTGCATGGTGCCCCTTTCCCCCAGCCAAACGTGCCTTACAACCACTCACACAGCTTCCCCTGTGGGCCATCAGCAGCCTTCCATTCCTCTTACAACCCTTCTCCTCCTTTGAACGCCCCCTATGGCTCCACATTCAACATGCAAGGAGGTCCGTACAACCCTTACGCGCCTCTCACTAACTCCCACGGAGCCCCCAACAGTCTCATCTCCAATTGTGCACCTTACTATCCACATATGCCCTACGGACACCAGTACAGCGGCCCGTTCACCCCTCCGCATGCCCCCTTCCCATGCGACACTGCAACCCCTCCACCTGCGATGGGCAGTACGGAAATGCAACTGAGACGAGTTCTGCATGAAATCCGAGGCACTGTACACAGTCTCAACCAGGTGAGTTCACCTGTAGCTGGCTGCTAACTGGGGCTGGGAAAACAAATATTTTGATAGTTGATTTTTCATATGAATTAAGCGACTAATAATCAGTTCATTGGCTTAATATGAAGAGCTGTAACCAAAAAATGTTTGGCAATGATTTGACTAACCTCCGTTCACCAAGAGCTAAATTACTGCCATGAAACAAAAAATGTGTTTTTGTCTAAACTACCTGTATTTTGAGCTACAGTGTATAAGGAGCAGTTGGTAAAAGTAAGTGATGTAATAATAAATATGTAGGTTAATGTTATAGATCTTCAGGCTGCAGCGCCATTTAACCGGTTTAGCATTTTAACCTGCTAATTAATTGGCATGGAGGGAAAGCTACCATTTACTGACCGCTCTGCTGCTTCAGAATCAGCACCATCATGTTTTCTTTTCCAGCGGCTGAAGGTAAACGATAAAGGACTTCTGGTAAAAGACGTCTCTTTACATTCAGACATAATTGTCCTTTTTCTTGCGCTATCTGCTGACATAGGGATGACGTTATGAGGGAATCACTGCCCTCTTCAGGTAGTGTTGTTGACTCCCTCTCGGTTGGATTTTGAAAATGTAAACAAAACATTTTCTTTGTTTCTTGTTTTGTTTTGTTTGACGAATAATTGTTTCAGCCCTACTGCTAGTAGGTAACATTACGTTGTGTGTAGCTTAAACCTGATCATATTTGTAGACTACAGTGTTTCCCACTGATTGTCTGAGTGGTAGACCCTTCAAAGCTGCTAGTGTTTTTACGCGTACATGGGGTCATCGCACACGGGCATGGCCGGAGTAGAATCATCACACAGAATGTTTTTGAAACGCAGTAAATACACCATGTTTTTTGTTTCTCTCCACATTTTTTTAAAAAGTGCAGTTGTTATTGATTAGGAACTCATTTATAGTCAGTTTGTTCACATCCAAAGAATTCATGCGTGACTGAATGCTTTAGAGCTCATTCTGAGCCAAAGAATAAAGGAATAATTCTACATCAAAGATCATTTGATCGTAATTTTATTTTGGCCCAAAAATGAGCGCATACTACATAAAAACATTAGCCTGCCAGGGACATCCTAACGCCTGTGTCTCTGATCCAAGTGAGGTGACGTGAGAATTAATGATGGGGGAAACACTGGACTAGTGATTAGTGGAATTCTTGGACGAAAACCAAAAGAAAGTTTTTTCTTTTTTTGTTGTTTATTTGTTTGAATGTTTTGTTTTAATTCACCATTTTGTGTATGTTTGTGAATAAACATACCAAACACAAAAACTAGAAGGCAATGGAGAAAATATGCTATCGTTATTGATAAAAAACGCTTGACAAAACTGACAAACTGAGCTGACAGTAAATAAAAAATAAAAAATAAAAAGCTTACATAAACGCACTAAAATATTATATAGGCTATGGAATATATCCAACGTCCTCAACACGGTCGCTCATTAAAGGCAGTGAATTCTCAGTTTCTCAGTTATACGCTGCACTTTTGCACTGTCATTCGTGATTGTTTTTCTCGTGTCTGTAACTATGGCTACAGATTGTGTTGTGTTTGTGTTCTGCGCATTGAGCAGGGTGTCATATTTTCAAGTAATCAAACATAATTGAGAAGCTCTTAAATGTTGTACCTCCTCTTTATACTCCTGGATTAATCTGCAGGAATGTTGATCTGCTGTCGCTACTGTTTGAACGTGTCTGTGCTGACCGATGCAGGAGAGCGAAGGGTTGTTTAAATGAAGAATTAGATTTTGACACTTTGTTGAAGTTCTGTTTAAACCTGTTTAATATTTTTATACCCCTGGAATTGATGCTTGGCACTGGACATGGCGACCTCAGGCTCATTTGCAGCTGCCCCTGAACATCCCATTCTGTTGGTCAATGCTTTTCTATAGAGATTATACAAGCTGTGTGTGGGTGCTTCACTAATCCACTAATTAAAAGTAGTGTCTGCAAACTTCTGGACATCTGGTGCATTTGTTAGCGTATTCTAATAAGCGTTATCACTTTAAATGAGCTGACCTTGAGTAACCGTTTTCCTGCTTGTGTTATTTCTGCGATAGGCCCAAGTTCCTTGTTTCCTGGTAGTCTCTCCCAAAAAGCAAATAACCAGGCTGACTCAGCATGTCTCTGTACAGAGTTCAGACTTGTCCCGTTTCTGCGTGACTGCTAAGTAAAATATCTCATTTGTGATTGTTTTGCCAGAGCCCTTCAGTGCAACGGGATGGCACACCCTTAGGGACACAGAGTCCGCACCAAGCTGCCCAACCACTTTATGAGGTACAATCTTTCTTTAATTACTTTCATTCTTTCATTCTTGAGGCAGACAAATGGACTTTTCCTTCAGGCTGATATTTTTGTGCTCTATGATTTTTGACATTTTATACTGCAAATGCATTTAATTCAGTCCTTCAGTTTGTTCACTGTCCAGTTTTTTTTGAACCCCCTGTCTTGCTTTCACTCACTGGCCACTTTATCAGAAACACTTACCTTGTGCTTCCACTTGCTGGCCACTTTATTAGAAACACCTACCTTGTGCTTCCACTCACTGGCCACTTTATAAGAAACACCCACCTTATGCTTCCACTTGCTGGCCACTTTATTAGAAACACCTACCTTGTGCTTCCACTCACTGGCCACTTTATTAGAAACACCTACCTTATGCTTCCACTCACTGGCCACTTTATTAGAAACACACTCCTTGTGCTTCCACTTGCGGGCCACTTTATTAGAAACACCCTCCTTGTGCTTCCACTAACTGGCCACTTTATTAGAAACACCCACCTTGTGCTTCCACTCACTGGCCACTTTATTAGAAACACCCACCTTGTGCTTCCACTCGCTGGCCACTTTATTAGAAACACCCTCCTTGTACTTCCACTCACTGGCCACTTTATTAGAAACACCCTCCTTGTGCTTCCACTCATTGGCCACTTTATTAGAAACACCCTCTTTGTGCTTCCACTCGCTGACCATTTTATTAGAAACACCCTCCTTGTGCTTCCACTCATTGGCCACTTTATTAGAAACACCCTCTTTGTGCTTCCACTCACTGGCCACTTTATTGGAAACACCCTCTTTGTGCTTCCACTCACTGACCATTTTATTAGAAACACCTACCTTGTGCTTCCACTCATTGGCCACTTTATTAGAAACACCCTCTTTGTGCTTCCACTCACTGACCATTTTATTAGAAACACCTACCTTGTGCTTCCACTCATTGGCCACTTTATTAGAAACACCCTCTTTGTGCTTCCACTCACTGGCCACTTTATTGGAAACACCCTCTTTGTGCTTCCACTCACTGACCATTTTATTAGAAACACCCTCCTTGTGCTTCCACTCACTGACCATTTTATTAGAAACACCCACCTTGTGCTTCCACTCACTGGCCTCTTTATTGGAAACACCCACCTTGTGCTTCCACTCGCTGGCCACTTTATTAGAAACACCTACCTTATGCTTCCTCTAACTGGCCATTTTATTAGAAAAATGTACCTTGTGTTTCCACTAACTGGCCACTTTATTAGAAACACCCACCTTGTACTTCCACTCAGTGGCCACTTTATTAGAAACACCTATCTTGTGCATACCTGCAGAGTTTAAAGGCAAGCCTCATTCTGTGATTCTGTTGACTAAACATTTCTAAAATTTATAGACACGTAATTTTTTAGTTCCCAGAAATTGCTAGAAAATCGTTAGTTTTCCGGAGAACCCTAGAAGGCCCTGAGGGTTCCTCTCTGAAATTGGTAATGTGCCAGCATTATACCACAAGATTTCACTTGCACTGGCATGAAAATAGAGCCCAAAATCTTACACGTATACTTAATATCAATAACTCACTTAATATCAATAACACTCTTAGTTATGGTCTTTTCCTGACCCCTCCCTCATTGCATTTGTCTTCTCTCTTCCCACAGGAGCTCCAGATGCGGCGCAGGAGTCTGAATGTCTTCAGGACTCAGATGATGGACCTGGAGCTGGCGCTGATGAGGCAGCAGTCCACGGTCTACCAGCACTTCAGTCCTGAAGAGAGGTAAAGACAGCAGACTTTAGGACTGAGGTCGTTGTGGGGGGAGGGGGGCGAGGGGGGCTGGTTCAGGATCTTTTACCTTTAGACAAGGCAAGTTTATTTATGTAGAACATTTCATACACAAAGACAATTCAGTGTGCTTCACATAAATAAAAGCAAAAGGAGCATCAGAAGAAAAAATAACGACTCAAGAGTGAAAAATAAAATATAAAGTGCTAAAAATATACAAAGTGCAATAGTTTATTAAAGCTAAGTACAAAGAGCATAAAAGCAAAATAAAAAAAAAAACATTTTAAGGGAAAGGGCTTAAGTGTTATTAAAATTAGCTTATTAAAGGTAAAATGCAGTAAGAATAAAGTGCGACTCTTACAGATTAATTAAAAAAAAGGCACATGAAAAGAAAAATATTTTAACCTGGATTTAAAATCACTGCATTTGAAGCTCATCTGAGATCTTTTAGCAGGTTGTTCCAGTTCTATGCAGCATCACAGCTGAACGCTGCTTGCTTTAGTCTAATCAGCAGATTTAGTTCATTTGTAGAGGAGTTGTTGTTCACGCTGTTCAGTTCTTCGTGCTTTTATCGACTATGTTGTATTAATTATGCAGTTACATAGTTAAATAATAGATTACATTTACGTGTGGTTTACACTCAGAGTCCACGTCTGACTTTTTGCCATTTGTTTTAATTGGTTCATATAAATCTCTGAACTCTGGTCTCACAGACTTTGGACTGACACTCTGTGACATTATCACATCTAATCTGTCTCACCACTACAAGCATATACAGCACAGTGATGAGAGGGGGCGCTATTCTGACACCAAAATGTGCACATTTGCACATGATTTGTGTGTTGTGTGTTTCTTACTCTGGTGCTAATTCTTATGTGTGTGTATATATCGCTGCTGTTGGAACAAAACCTCCAAAATGGTAACTTTACAGGAGAAGGAAAAACCTACTTTACTTTTAATGTAAGTCAATGGAACCAGACTTTTTTCCAAGTAATTTTGGGCCGTTTCTTTCTGTCTATTCATCATCAAATTTACATACAATGTAAAGACTAACGGACGTTCTCAAATTATGTCAAAAACCAAAAAACAACAAAAATGGAGATACAAGGTTTTGTTGTGACAGCAGTGATATACGCACAATGGTAGGAACTGATAAAACTGTGTTCACTCTATGGAAATCACATTGTTTTCACATTCTCATTAATCTGTTATATGTATTATATCATCTGCATTTTTGTATGTATATGTGTATATACTACTTATACTACTTCCATGCTGTTCTTGTTATTACCTGCATTTTGCTATGAATTTGAGCTAATTCTTTGAGAAAACTCTCTCTGGATCTTTTGCTTTATAACTGACAGAATTAGAGTTAAACACGCCTACAGCCCAGTGGACTTTCTCAGCAGTGCACATGTCCAGAGATGACCAGAGATTTAGATTTGGCAGATTAAACAAAAAAATCTATTTGGAAAACAATGTAAAAGTACATGTTTCTTCATGTGAAACTGAAGAGCTGTGTGATTCATCAATACTGTTTATTGACAATACTGACGATACTGACAACAGTGATCGGTAGTGTCTGTTGTCTGTGGCAACTACACCATGATTAAGCTTAACTCTTCAAGTTGACTCTTTAAGAAGCATTTGGAGAATCTCTCTGTCTCTGCTTTTCTGTTTCCTCTGTTTGTTTACGTTTGTTTGTTTATTTGTCAGAAGGGAGGCAGAGCAGCTGCAGAGGCTGAGAACTGCAGTCAGACAGGAGCTGCAGGAGCTGGAACTGCAGGTGGAGGATCGACTCCTGACCCTCAGTGACCAGCTGCGCTCGTCGTCGTCGTCCCGCCTCTGCCGCCACCCGCTGGTCAGTACCTGGAGTTACAACAATACAAATCCAGCTAAAGCTTAAAATATTTGTCCAACCCTGATGGGACCCACCTGCTGATATATTAGGACTGAGGTCGTTGTGGGGGGAGGGGGGCGAGGGGGGCTGGTTCAGGATCTTTTATCTTTAGACAAGGCAAGTTTATTTATGTAGAACATTTCATACACAAAGACAATTCAGTGTGCTTCACATAAATAAAAGCAAAAGGAGCATCAGAAGAAAAAATAACGACTCAAGAGTGAAAAATAAAAAAATAAAGTGCTAAAAATATACAAAGTGCAATAGTTTATTAAAGCTAAGTACAAAGAACATAAAAGCAAAATAAAAAAAAACATTTTAAGGGAAAGGGCTTAAGTGTTATTAAAATTAGCTTATTAAAGGTAAAATGCAGTAAGAATAAAGTGCAACTCTTAAAGATTAATTAAAAAAAAGGCACATGAAAAGAAAAATATTTTAACCTGGATTTAAAATCACTGCTGATGTTGGGTTTGGTTGGGTTCAGGCGTTATTTATCAAATATGTGTCGGGTTTCAGTTTGACATTTGTGTTCTCACAGCCCACCTCCCACTGATTTTACCCTCCATTTCTCCCTGTTTTAGCTTTTCTCCTTACTTTATTCTTTATTCCTATTTTCATTACCCTAAAACGCCCTTTGTTGTGGAACGCTGGAGTCATCCACTCAAGGCCTTAAGAAAACAGACAAAAATAAAACGGTGAAGCAAAACGCTAAAGTAGTGTAATACAGCCAAAAGAACACGTCTATGATTTTTAATATGTTCATTATATGATATGAAACATTTTATTTGTAAAGAAATAGAGCTAAAGGATTAAACAGAGAACAACACAGTATGCAAAGCTTATCCAGATAAAAAATGTTTGGGAAGTTGTTTGACAGCATTAATTGATGAATAAATTTATTAAAATGGACTTTAACCTTCATTTCAGACAGCTGATTATTTTATGATATGATATATATATTTTCCATTTGAATTATCCATGATCTAATGACATCTATTACTGTCACTACACGGTATGTTAGCCTTCACTATTGTTAAAATTCGGTGCTTTGGCTACACAGCTGGTAAAAGTGGCCCAAATCTGATTTTCTCACCAGATCCAACTTTTTTGTTTTGCTGTTCACATTATCCTTTAAATGTGACCTATATGTGACATTAGTCTGGACAGATCAGCTCCTAAACTGACCCGCATGGCGCACTCATCCAGATGTAAACAATCACGACTGCCAGCGAACGCCAGTCGCTCAGTTTCATCTTCACCAGCATCACAGGAGCCATCATGAAGCTTCACTGACTCACAGTTGGGCTCATCACCCAGAATGTGTTCGAGCTCGCCGTAAAAAGGGCGCGGCCACTTCTTTGGCTCGCGTCCTCGGATTCTTTTTGTTTTCAGACTTTTCCTTGATGCTGCAGCCTCGGTCTCCTGCGGCCGCCTACGACCCTTTCTTTCAAAAGCTCTTCAAACACGGAGGGTTTTGATAAGTGTCTTCTAATTTCTTGTACAGAAACATCAGCCTAAATGTTTGAGATCTCAGCAGCGCGAAATTATGACGAATGTCGAGTTGGATTGACGTAAAAGTTGCATGAATTCATACAGATTGGATTTCAGTACCACATATGAAAGCGTCTCAAATCGGAATTCAAAATGTCAGATTGTGTTTGTTGCTGCTCACACTGACACACATCTAAAGGAAAAGATCGGATTTGGGCCATTTTTACCTGCTGTGTGAACAAAGCCTTTGGGCCAGGGTGGGCCAGCGGGCCAGAATTATGCTCAGGTCAGGTTTGGACACTTTGATGTGGTTAGGATCTGGTACATTCAGAACTTTGTTGGGCTCGAGCTGAAAATTCTCAGGCTGTATTCAGGCTTTGACTAAAATTCCAGGCCCGATTGAAGCCCTAAACATCGATCCAGCGCCTTAGCTAGCAAACATTAAAGAGCAATATCTATTACAGATCACTGAACATGGTTTGATGCTAATTTGTGGTGTAAGCTTCCATTGCTTATTAGCTTCATTAGCCTTAATTAGCCATTAACATTTGAGAGGAAAGCAAGATTTTCTGCCAGACTGATGTCTTACTGTTTTTCTCCATTCAGCGTTTAAAGCAGTCACAGAAAGCACCTGAATGATTGATATGTGAAAATGAGAAAGTGATACAGGTCGTTTTACAGTGTTCATTTCACTGAGTGGCATATGTCCCCCCCACAGGGCATGATGAGAGGTCACAGCATGGACAGTCTGTCCAGCTCTTCTGCTCTCAGGGCCATGGAGCCGGTGAGTTATCATCACACACTCCCACACTCACTCATTCTGCTCTCTCTCCGAGCGATTGGACCTCTTAGGGCGGCTTCATGTTCACCTCACCTTTCAGAGATAGCTGTGTGCGAGAATATGTGTGTGTATGTGTGTGTATGTGTGTTTGTTTGTCTAAATTTTGTAGGAAATACCAGAGTAAATGTTTCATTTTTTAAAAAAACTGAAAAAGTAAAACCATTTCTTTTTGTATAAAACTTTGCGTGCGTGTAAAGATTTTATTCCAAGCAGTTTTGAAGCATTTTTATTTGTTTGTTCATCATGACACATTCACACATTGTAAAGAGTAGCTGGTGTTTTCAAATTATGTAAAACAATTGAAAAATGGCAAAAATATAGATGCAAGGTTTTCTTCCAACAGAGACTATTTGAGGCTTATTATTATTATTATTATTATTATTATTACATATAGGTGCTTACCACATGTAAGTATAAAGCATGAATGAGAGCATAAAAATCATGTGATTTTCATAGAACGAACAGTTTTATCACTGACGTACAGTGGGATCAGTTCCTACCATTGAGTGTGTGTAGTGTGTTTTGTGTGTGTGTGTGTGTGTGTGTGTGTGTGTGTGTGTGTGTAAATATAACTCTTATCAGAACAAAACCTTGTATCTCCATTTTTGTTGTTTTTCATGATGAATGGACCAAAAGAAACGGCCCAAAATGACTTGGTGGGGGGGGGGGCTGAGTCTGGTTCCATTGACTTACATTAAAAGTCAAGCATGTTTTTTTTTTCTATCATTTTGGAGATTTTGTTATCCTTTGAGAGTTGGAGTCATTTTCAAGGTTTTGGTCCGACAGAAGCGATATACAGTATTGCACGCACCTTAAAAATTAGAAATAATTATTAATTAGTTAATTATATGGGCAGTATGTTGGGTGTCTATTTGCTCAAAATAAATACTAATATTAGAATGAATATAAATAACATTAATACAGTAAGTAGTGATAAGTAGTGTAGTCAACAATGAGGTGAAATCTGGAACCAAACTTTGCTCTTCAAACTAGCTCACAAGTTATCATCATTATCAACATTTTTCAAAATACATATGCTTGTTACTTTTTTTCTGTATTCATGTTTACTTGCATTTGTTCTAAATTGTTCAATGTGCTTAGATGCCTAAAACAGTCTCATTCAATCTGGTGGATTCTTGTTACAGTGGAGGCTATCAGAGGGAACTGGAGCTCCACCAAGTTGTTGCTTTTGTTAGTTTGCTACTTGTTGATTTATACATAGGTCTCCCACTAACGCTGTCCAGTGTAGTGTACTGAAGGTGCTGATGGTTTCACTTTAAAAGCCATTTAAATGAGGACTACAATTGTGGCTTCTATCATAGCAACATACAGCACGTTGCAGCTGGGCTTCAGCTTGGAAGTGTGTGAATGTTTTGAATGGTCAGACTAGGAAAACCAAAACGTTGTATCTCCAAAATGGAAGAAAAAATGTCCTTATAAGTTCTTATAAGTTAACATAAAGGTGTTTGCAACTTATATCAAGTACTGAAACAACAAAAATGGAGTTACAGGGTTTTGTTCTGACAGTCACAATATATAAAATACATATTTTTGACCAATAATCCTGACATTATATAAAAAAGCATGCGTTTATATGTTTCCTGTCTCCTCAGATGACCGACCTCTTGCGGGAGCAGCTGTATCTTCAGTCTGAGCTGGGTTACGATGGATCTGCCACCCCCATCTCCGGCCGCTCATCCAGAGCTGAAAGTCCATCCAGATCCACCAGAAATTCTGACCACTACTGTCCTTCCCCACAGAGAGGAGGCCTGTACCGTGCCTCCGTCAGCATCACCCCCACTGTCCCTCGGAGGCCTGGAGTGGGGCTCGGTCAGCCTCCACCAGCAGAAAGCCAAGAGCAGACCATGAGCCCTAATCCGTCCGAGGGCAGAGGTCAGAGAGGGAGTTTTAGCGTCTTCTCTCAAGAGGACCAGGCGAGCACAACTAGTGAAGATATTCAGTTTCAGGACGAGAGAAGAGGGGGAAACGCTCACCTGCAGCAGCTCATCCAGGAGGTGAGATTCCTTCACTTTCCTCCTTCTTTTCTGTTTATTACCTTACAGCAGGGCTCCAGCTGACCATGATTTCTGTAGTTAATAATAAGCTAATTGCAGCATCATGCTTTCTGCAGTTTCCCTTCAATGTCCCTCCACCACAGTGGCATCGTTTAAAGTTCAAAGCAATTTTTTCTTTTATAGTGCAGTGAAACAGTCAAAGCCATTTAGCCCCCTGTCAAACATTTGTACACCCACTGTCTCCTCTGAAAGGCCAGTACGCTGAAGACATTTGGGTTTGAGATCAAAAGATAAATATGAGACAAGAAATCAGAATTTCAGCTTTTATTTCAAGATATTTTCATCTAGATGTGTTAAACACCTTTGGCGTCAGACCAACCAGTTTTAGGTAAACCAAAGTATAGGAACAAATGGTCTGAAAGTGAATTAAAGTAAATAACGCTTAATATTTGGCTGCAGTTCCCTTGCTCGCAATAACCGCATCGAGCCGGTGACCCGCTGACGTCACCAAACTGTTGCGTTCTTCTTTTGTTATGCTTTTCCAAGCTTTTACTACAGCCTCTTTTAGTTGTTTGTTTTAAGCAGTTTCTCCCATCAGCCCCCTCTTCAGGAGGTGTAATGCATGCTCAATCAGGTTCAGGTCTGGTGATTCACTTGACCAGTCTAAAACCTTCCACTTTTACTCCCTATTGAAGTCTTTTGTTGTGTTGACAGTTTTGGGTAACTGCCTAGCTGCATGATGAAGTTCCTCCTGATTAGATTGGATTAATTTCTCTGTAAATTGTCAAACAGAAGTTTCTGTAGACTTCTGAATTCACCCTGCTGTGGCCATCATCAAAAAAGATTAGTGAGATTAGTCTAGAAGCAGCCCAAGCCATGACACTACCTCCACCATGCTTTACCTGTGAGCTCGTATGTTTTGGATCATGAGCAGATCCTCGCTTTTGATATCTCGCTCTGTGTATGTTGTTGGTGATGTAACTGACTGTTGATTTTGGGTTTTTCTTCTGCAATCTTTCTGTCATCAACTGATGTTGTTTACCTTAGCCGACCTGCGTGATGTCTGGTTGTTAGAACACCGGTGGTTTCTTTCTTTGTTGTATTGGCTGTGCCCAATGTTTGTATAGTGTGATCGATTTTTCCCTCTTTTCTCAGCCCGAAAATGGCTTGCTTTTCTCCCATAGACAGCTCTCTGGCCTTCATGCTGGTTTATCCTTTTTCACAACAAATGCAGTCCTCACATTCAAAACCCAGGGCTCAGACCAAGAGTGGACATTCAGGGTTATTAATTGTTTAAACTGTCATTGTAACAGGGCACCTCTGGGCAGAGAGAAACACCTGTCAGTCACATGTTCCAGTATTGTTGCTACCTTGAAAAATGGGTGGGGTTTAAACAAAAGGTGCTCTGTTTTAAGTTGTTTATCACAGCTAGATATGAATATCAGGAAATTTTGAAATTCTGATCTGTCGTCTTACATTTATGTTGATCTCAGACCCAAATGTCTTCAGTATATAACAAAAACAAAATAATTGACCTTATTGTCACAATACTTTGGGAGGAGACTGTAGCTTTCAGAATGTTTTTGTATCAGTATTTGGGACTGTGCTACCTCGGGAATAACTGACTGAGAGACTGATCTGGAATGAGTGTATGTTTTGCTCCCAGGCGGCTCTGGTGAAAATGTTTCTGGTACTTTTCATGTCATTTGAGAGTACGTCCTTCACAGCAGTACTCACTGTTTCCCTTCATTTCCCCTCAGTTCTGCGCAGTTTTCACTCCTCTGAACAGAGTTTTACTGTGTTCTTGGCGCCGTGTTGGAAAGGTTCTCGCTCTGTGGTGACGAACGAGGTGACAGGGTAACGTTTGACTGATTAGCTTGTGAAATATCATTCATCAGCTCAGGCTGATTTAAGAGCTTGGCCTGCTTTTACAGAGAAGCTGGAATGGAGTAGTCCTTTCCCCTTAGAGTACTGGCTAACATTGGAGCCTGTGAGGTCAGTTTAAACTAATGAATTGGCAGGACTGTGTGTGTTGTGCGTTAGATGTTCCTCATCAGTGTGTTTGACACATCTCCCTACATTCTGTTCCTCCCCTACTCTCTCTCTCTCTCTCTCTCTCTCTCTCTCTCTCTGTAAATCAGTCTTATATCTGTTCAGCAGTTTTTACTTCTCGTAGTCTATATGTCCAAAAGTTTGTGGACACCTGCTCCTCCAGCGTTTCTTCTGAAATGAAGGGTATTAATAGTGAGTTTGTCCCTCTTTGCTGCAGTAACAGCCTCTACTGTTCTGGGAAGGCTTTACACTAGATGTTGGAACATTGCTGTGAGGATTTGATTGAGCATTAGTGAGGTCAGGTACTGATGATGGATGATCAGTTCTGGATCTCCAGCTCATCCCAAAGGTACTGGATGGAGCTCCATCACTCCAGAGAACAGAGTTTTACTGCTCCACAGCCCAATGCTGAGGGGCTTTAGACCCCTCTAGGCCACGCGTGGCATTGGACATGGTGACCTTAAGCTCATGTGCAGCTGCTCTAGAGTGTCCCATTCTATTGGTCAGTGCTTTTCTATGGAGATTGGACAAGTTGTATGTGTTCAAATGAACACCTGTGTCAGCAATGGCTGACCTTAAAGTAGCTAAATGTACTCATTAGAAGGGCTGTGTGGTATCTGTGTAGTGTACAGACCTCTGAAGTCATTCTTAAATCATTCGTCATCCCCGTATTAGGAACTCTGATGGTTTTCTCTATAGTGCAAAATTATGGGGCTTTCAAAGTTCATAGCTGTTGCGAGAAACTAAAAAAATGCCCCAAAGCCGATACTTTTTGTCCCGTGTCACTGGATCCGCTGCATTAAGAGATCATTTATCATTTATTTATATGCTCCTAGAAAGCAAACGCTTCTGAAAGATGTCATATGAAAGCAAGTCTACTGTTAAACCTCAGCACTATTACATGGTGACACCAATTATTCAAACTGTGGCCTTAATCTGTCAAACCTTCTTAATCACTACATTTGACGAAGCTTGCTGGTTTGGGTGCGATATTTTGGTGTGGTCAGTCTTATGATGTCAGTCCATTGTGGAGTACTTCTTAACGGCCTCATGTCAGAAGATCTGAAAAATAAGATACATGGGTACGGCAAAACATATCGGCTTTGGGGCATTTTTGTTCGTCACAGCAGCGATTTTTCCAAAACTCCATTAATTTTCCCCATAGAGAACAATAATAAGACACCACACCTTCAGAGGTCTGTTATTAATTTGACGTGGACAATACAGCAAAAATCTAGCTTCATGATATTTCATGATACATGATATGCATAATGATATCTAGTTTTTCTCAAGTTTGATCTGTCAAAAAAGCTGCAGTGGTCTCACATTAAAAAACAGACTAACAATATCTATGAATACAGTGATTTTTATTGAACGGTTTACATCCTGCGCTGCACTAAACCTAATAAAACAGGACTAATTGTGATGTCTTTGTAATGAAATATGCAATTGTTCCATGTTCTTTGAGCACTAATATCCATGATTAACTCAGAAAAGCATATTGTGACCTAAATTATTACCATAAGGATAAGTATCATCACGTGTCCCACCTCTACTATTAATACATTTCGAATGGTATGTTTAAGAACGTTAAGTAGGATTCATAATGTGATTAATTTATAGTTTTGTTTATAGTTCCATCATGTCTCTGCAGTAAAACTGCATTTTCATTATCAGTAGAGCTGCAGTCTGATGGCCGCTGTTTTATCTCTGGTATTCACAGATAAAGCAGAGTCTCGCTGAGGAGATCAGACAGGAGATTGTGAATGAGCTCCTGGCTGCAGTATCACCACGGCGATCTCCCGTAGTGGCAAGAGAGCCGCCGGCGTGACCATGGTGATGGAGAGGAGAAGGTGAGTTTTACTGAAGATGCACACACTGCTTCACTCTCTCCTGAGCTCCATCCATCTATACCAAGTGTATATATATGTATATATATATATGTATGTATATATGTATGTATATATGTATGTATGTATGTATGTATATGTGTGTGTGTATATATATATATATATGTATGTGTGTGTGTGTGTGTGTGTGTGTGTGTGTGTGTATGTATGTGTGTATATATGTGTGTGTGTGTATATACATATACATATACATATCTTATCCTTCTGGGTCATGGGGGGAGCTGGACCCATATGGTGTATATATGTTGGTGGAGTTTTGAGCATTGATATTTCTTGTATGTGATATTATATTATAAAGCTTATTACCAATAACATCATGAAAAAAGGAACATTTTGTTTATTTTTGTATGCAAAAGTTTAAACACCCCAATCTGATTACTTTTCTGTAAATTGTTTTAAGTGAAAATAAATAAAGAATAAAATTAAAAATGCTGCTGATTTTGTTCATTTTAGTGCATTTTGTTTACTCGGGTTTATCATATTGGAAAATGTGAAATATGAAATACTTTACAGTGACAGTGTTTGTTGTAGTAACAGGAACTGTGCATTAAAATATACAGAAGTGTTTTCATTGTCAACAAAACATGTTAATTGATCAGGGGCGTCCAAACTTTGGCATACGACTATACATCTGATCAATTTAATCGACCTTTAGGCCAGTAACTGTGAGTTAGCTGCATTAGTCGCTGTGTGGCTGAATGTTTTTGGTTTCCCTCCGCAGCGGCCGAAGAGGAGGAGTGCTGTGAAAGTAAAGTCTGAGCGAACACTGATGAAGCCGTGCACTGAGATCAGCTCAACGTCGCCCCTGCATCCGCCACACACTACTGCAGAAACCCCCCCCCCACTCTATCCACACCATCCGCTCCCACTTAAACACAGGGGTCTAGCCAACCTTGCACTACTGCAGCAACATCCTACAGCTACAGCAGAAACGTCCCACAGCAACAGTAACAGCTACAGGAGAAACACCCATCCACCCTCAAATCCTCCAGCTGCTCCACCCTCTGAGGCTTATCTGCACTGCAAAAAATAACATTTTGTCAAGTAAAATTATCTTAAATATAGTCAATAAATCTAATATTTCTCCTATTGAGATTGTTGTAAGCTTACTTTAAGATTATTTAACTTATTTCTGGACATTTTTACTTGTTTTCAGTAATTTTGTTAAGTAAAATGATCTCACTATATTGGCAGATAATTATGCTTGTTTTGAGAAATGTGCTTGAGACCAGCAACATTATCTGCCACTTTAGTGAGATCATTTTGCTTAATAAAATTACCTAGAACAAGTAAATAATGTTTAGAAATAAGCTAGATAATCTTATCTGTGCACACCCATCTCATGGGAAATATTAGATATTGTAACTAGATTTAAGATCATTTCACTTAACAAGATATTATTTTTTGTAGTGTGAGTACGGGGGTCGTCAATCGTTTGGAGACGACTAGCTTTTTTCAACTGTTCAATACAAATGAGCATATTTTCATTATAGATTTGTCAAAGCTTAACAGTGCCGACCCATGACCATCAGAGCTGGACCTTCAGTTTGAGCCATAAATGTCAAAACTTCTGTCTAAAATGAAGAAAATACACCTCGACTGTAATTTCTACTAACCTGATGATGAGATTTTAGTAGTATGATGGCACTAAGCTAACGGTGATGCACATTAACATTTTTTGACCATTGGATATTTGAAGCTTGTAACAGATGTATTTTACCTTGTAGCAGTTCTACAGTAACTCTGCCAGAGAGCTGTTTCCCATCTGACTGAAATCCGTACTCACAGTCAGTGATGTATCTAGAACTTTATGAAGAACTAGAATTTTTTACAGTGGGTCCCGCCCACTATAAATAAAAACGTGATTGGTTTATTCCAATGTGGTAAATAGGCATCAAGTCCGTCTACTAAAGTTCCAACCAATGGGAGAGCTCACATGGCTGAATCCACCTAGATCCCGCGAAGAAAAAAAAATCCCGATTGGATCATTTTCCATTGAGCGTTTCACGAATTTAAGCCTTTTGTTTCCAACACTGCAAAAATGGCATCTTGTCAAGTAAAATTATCTTAAATATAGTCAAGAAATCTTATATTTCTCCTGGTGAGATTGTTGTAATCTTAATTTTAAATTATTTACCTTATTTCTAGACAGTTTTTACTTGTTTTAAGTAATTTTATCAAGTAAATAAATCACTATATTGGCAGATAATTGTGCTTCTTTTAAGAAATGTGCTTGAACCCGGTAACATTATCTGCCAGTATATTGAGAGAATTTTACTTAATAAAATGACCTAAAACAAGTAAATATTCTCTAGAAATAAGATAGATAATCTTATCAGTGCACACCCACCTCAAAATGGGAAATATTAGATATATCGACTAGATTTAAGATAATGTCACTTGACAAGGTACTATTTTTTGGAAGTGAACCAAAGTTTAACAGTGAAATGAGGATTAGAAGCAGAGTTAAAATACAAGTTTGGTGATTCTGTTAAACAAAAATGAACTGAAAATTCCAGGTACTTTTTTATTTCACAGAAATCGGCCTTCTTCCTCAAAATGAACCTTGTTAGTCTCAAAATGTTACTTTATTGCAAACAGACAAGGAAAACATGCTCAGTTGTATTAGCATTTTGAAAAGCTAGAACTTTTGTCAGGCACTTTATGTTCTCATCCACCCGCCTTACCTACTTAAACTCTCCAACGGGGCTGAAGAAACATCCAGCTCCACCACTCCTGAGCTGGATCTGTCTTGAGAAGCCTCCAACCAGATGCCACACGCTTATAAATAGAGGTTCTTTAGTGGTTCTTAGCTTGGATGTACAGGCCTGGGAGAAACTTTGAATTGGTGTAGAACCTTTACATTATGGGGAGGTTCTTTGAACTTTAGAAAAGATTCTCGTACACAGCAGAGGTTCTTCTGAGAACCATCCATGTAAGGTTTTTTTAGGGAACCGAAAGTGGTTCTATGTCCCTTTTTAGTTCTTGGTATGTACTGTTGGTGCAGCCAGTTATCCACCCCAACAGAATCAATGTTCCACTGCAAGGTCCATCATGTGGGATCTTCCTGAGGAACCTAAGCAGACACTGTTCCACAAAAGCATTATAGTGTTCTTCAATCTTCTTATGTGCTTACAGAGAACGTCCTGTTGATCTATCCATGATCTTTTTGTGGTTTTTTTTAAGGAACCTGTCCCTGATGTCTAAGCAGGGAGAGGCTGCAGCTGAGTTTTGTATGGTACCTGCATTTTTCCACTGTAATTTCTGGGCTGTATTTGAGTTTGTGATTACGTTTGTGGGACCACTTGCATGTTATGCTAAGGTGAAGGTGGCCAGGCTTGCTGATGATGATGATGATGATGATGATGATGATGATCGCACTGTGGGTGATGGTGAAAGTGTTTTGTATGTGCGTATGTGTGAATGAGCGCGAGTGAATAATTGTCTACTGTAATCCAACTATCTTCTAATGCAGCCTCTGTGAGGTACTAACCGTGCAATATGTTCCACTTTTTCAACTTGAACTGACCGGTCACACCTGCTGTTTATAGGCCAGCCACTTTAGAGAGGACAACAAAACCACTTCAGTATAGAGAGGCGTTAGAATTAAGGAGGCCTTAATAAGCCAATATCTGCTGACTGGCTGCTCATTACTACACTCTTAATATAAGATGGACCTTCAGTGGTTTTTAGTGAAGAAAATGGTTCTATATAGAACCATGAAGACTCAAAGAACCCTTTGCATGATTAAAGGGTTCTTTGCATCATGAGAGTGTTCTTCAGATTGGTGGAGAATGTGCTATAGTTGGTTCTATATTGAACTTTTTTGAAAAGGGTTCTGTATAGCACCCAAGCGTTCTTCTATTGTTACGATGTCAAGCTTGTTACAATAGAAGAACCCTTTCGGGTGCTATATGAAACTCTTTTCAAAACGGTTCTGTATAGAACCATCCACAGCACATTCTCCATCAATCTGAAGAACGCTTTCATGATAACACTTTTTACAATATTGTGCATTATTGAGTGGTACTGTGTAGAACCATGAACACTCAAAGAACCCTTTGCACAATTAAAGGGTTCTTTGCATCGTGAAGGTGTTTTTCAAATTGATGGAGAATGTGCTGTAGATGCTTCTATGTAGAGCCATTTTAAAAAGTGTTCTATGCAGCACCAAAAACGGTTCTTCTATTGTAACAAGCTTGACATCATAACAATAGAAGAACCTTTTTGGGTGCTATACAGAACCCTATTCAAAAAAAGGTTGTATATAGAACCATCTGTAGCACATTCTCTATCAAGTTTATAAAACCCTTTCATGATAACACTTTTTACACTATTTAGCATTACTAAGTGGTACTTTATAGAACCATGAACTCTCAAAGAACCCTTTGCACGAGTAAGGGTTCTTTGCATCGCAAAAGGGTTTTTCAGATTGATTGAGAATGTGTTGTATATGGTTCTACAGAGAACCATTTTAAAAAAGGTTTTATAAAGCACCTAAAAGGGTTCTTCTATTGTTACGATGTCAAGCTTGTAACAGTAGAAGAACCCTGTTGGGTGCTATGCAGAACCCTTTTCAAAAAAAGTTTTATATAGAACCGGCTACAGCACATTCTCCATCAATCTGAAGAACACTTTTTACAATATTGTGCATTATTAAGTGGTGCTATATAGAACCATGAACTCTCAAAGAACCCTTTGCACGATTAAGGGTTCTTTGAATCATAAAAGCGTTCGTCAGATTGATGGATTAGCTGTGGATAAAGCAGGTTCTTCTATTGTAACAAGCTTAACATCATAACAATAGAAGAACCCTTTTGGGTGCTCTACAGAACAATTTTTAAAATGGTTCTACATAGAACTATTTTCTTTACTAAAGAACCCTTGAAGAACCGTCCTTGTTAAGAGTGTATTTAGCAATGACTGCAGGAGTGAAGTAAGCACTTTTCCAAGCACTTGTAATGCTGTTAGTAAAGGGGGATTCCACTGATTCTTCACAATCTCTGCATAATTCAATCACTGAGATGTAAACAAAGTAATTCAGAGTGTTTTTATGACAAATGTTTCGTTCTAGAGATCCTTACAGACTCGGATTTCTTTACGGTGGTGGTGATAGGAACCAGGGGTCGCCATGACTACAACACAAATATAGACATTTTGTTTACTATCCAGAACCACCAGTGAACCTACACGAGTCTTCTGAGTGTTTATGTGGAATATTGACGGTAAAATAGTGACAAATGTGAAAAAATATTTTTTCTTTTTTTTTTTAATCTTACAACGCTCTGCATGGACCCCTTCACTAATTATAGATTTAAAAAAGTCTATTTTGTGCCAGAACCTTCTCAGAACTTTAGTACAACAGTGTCAGTCATCAGGCAGTGAATTCATAACCATTTCATGTAATATCTTTCTGTGAGGGAGCTTTTAGAGGTGGACATCTGGTTCCTATCACCACCACTGTGAACAGTTCTGACTCTTAAGTTTCTCTAGAACAGAGCATTTCACACCAAAACCAGTCTGAATGCCTTTAAGAATGAATTAATCAAAAAATAGGCACATTATTAAACCAGTGCTCAGGTAAGGGTTGTGCATGGGATTAAGATGTATGATACATAAACAAAAGTGCTCTGGAAAATGCTTTTTTTCTTGCTTCTTGTGAAAAAATGTAGTATGTCCGCATTGTTAAAGTGTGTTTCAGTCCACATACCAAAAATACACTGTTTTGAATTCTTAGTTTGTGTGATATCGTCCACAAACAAACACATTTAAACATCACTGCTGTCGGAACAAAACCTTGTATCTCCAGAATGGTAACTTTACAGGAGAACAAAAAAACAAGCTTCACTTTTAATGTAAGTCAATGGAACTAGATTTTTTTCCAAGTCATTTTGGGCTGTTTCCTTTGGTCCATTCATCAGGAAATTTACACACAATGTAAAGGGCGACAGGTATTTTCAAATTATGTCAAAAACTGAAAAACGTCAAAAATGGAGATACAAGGTTTTACTCCGACAGCAGCGATATATACACCTATTCAGCCTACAGCAGTTTAGCTCCGCCCCCTTACTCTGAAGTTATAAGGAGTGTTTCAGCCTGGACTGCTTTATGAACAAGGTGGCCAATCAGAA